GACCACACAACCCTTCCTCTCTGAACCCAGCGCATCGGCGGCAGCTACTCCTGTGGCCATGTACTTCTCACAGAACATACTATTCTTGCTTTGTCCAACTCAATGAGCTTCTGACTGCCAGGGACTGAGAAGGAGATATTCAACTTCCTCTGGACACAGCCAACCACCTGGGATGTGCCACAAAAAAGAGCATTGTTTCTTGTTAAATGTGGGGAACTGGATGTAGAGCTTTGTTAAGCAAGCATTTGTATATATCTGAGCTAAACCATCAGACCTTTATATTTTCTTATTTTGAGAGGTCTCATTAAATTGTTCAAGAAGGCACTGAATTTGTTCCTCTGCCTGCCTCAGCCTCCTGAGTAGGCCCAGACCTGGCTAAGATCAATTCTTTCCTTACCGTTAATTCGTACTTGCCATGGTAGTGGCCATCACCAGGGTCTCTGTCTTCTTGGTTCACTGTCCTATCAGGCACAACATTTTTCCTAGTGTAAGAATTGTAAGAATATTTTTCTAAAACTATGTCTTGGTGAATTGTGTCATTTATGTGAGTAAACCATATATTTGTTCTAGGTCTTTGCTAGTCTGAAAATTTATTTTGGTAACTTGCTCTTCCAAGGTTGTCCATATTTTTCAGCACTCAAATATGAATTGCTGGTAGAAGTGAAGTTGCTCCCTGTCTCTTATGTAAGACACATATTTTGCCAGGCGTTGGTGGCGCACGCCTTTAATCCCAGCACTCAGGAGGCAGAGGCAGGCGGATCTCTGTGAGTTCGAGACCAGCCTGGACTACCAAGCGAGTTCCAGGATAGCCTCCAAAGCCACAGAGAAACCCTGTCTCGAAAAACCCAAAAAAAAAAAAAAAAAAAAAAAAAAGACACACATTTTATCTGGTTTAGCTTCAGTCACTCTACAAAGTTTAACAACTCCAGTCTCAGTTCTCAGTCGTGTCCCTGAATGCAGGTGACACTGCTTAACAGGCATTAGCTGCAATTCGGAAGTTAGTGGTTTGACAAAAAGAAGAAAATGCACACTTTAAGCTAAGCCCATTGGGACATGGCTGTGTTCAGCATTTGGGAGGCTAGGTAGGATAATTGCCAACTTTGGGTCCAGTATGGGCTTACAGGGCAAGACGACCCTGTCTCAAAAGAGCAAACCTACTCAAAACATCAAAACTCTATGTATGGTGTGTATGTACACACACTCAAACAAAACACATGTACTAGTTGCTTCAGGTTGTTCATTAAAATGACTTCTCATTTATAAACTTTGGGTCAGCACTGTTGTATACCAATGTTAATGTTGACTCTTTTTAAGATTTTTATGTTTATTTGTGCCTGTGTACCATGGTACACACGTGGAGAAAAACTTGCCCCAAACAAAATTCAGCTCAAAGTCAACCATAGGCCTTAAATATTAAGACCTGAATCCTTGAAATGATTATAGTAAAATACATATGCAGGCAACAAGTTTCTGAATAGGACTCTAACAGATCATGAAACGACAGTGAGAACTGACAAATGGGACTGCTTACATTAAAAAGCTGCTGCATAGCAAAGAAAACACTCATCAGACTCAAGAGAACAGTGTGGGAGGGAACCTCTGCAACTAACCTAGCAAGGGCTGTTACTAACCTAGCAAGGGCTGTTACTAACCTAGCAAGGGCTGTTACCAGGACATGGAGCTAAAGCTGCAAACAGGGAGCAGGCAAATGAACTGAAGAGAAACTTCAAATGGTTAATAAACACACAGGAACTAAAGAGCTGGCTCAGCAGTTAAGAGCACGTAAGTCCTCTTACAGAGGACCTGGGCTCCATTGCCAGCATCCATGAGGTGGTGTACAACTGTGTGTAACTGCAGTCTCAGAAGATCTGGTGTCTTCTGGCTTCCATGGGCACTGCACGTACATGGTGCAGAGACATATGTGCAAGCAATACACTCATACAAGTAAATGATAAATAAAATGTTCAAGATATATAAAAAATACATGAAAAAGGTCGAAAATCTTTAGCCATTGGGAAAATGAAAATTTCCCCGGTCAGAATGGGTATCAAGAAAACAAGAAGCAACAAATGTTGGGGACGGGAGGGAACTCATACTCTACTGTTTGGAATGTAAAATAGTTCAGCCACTGTGAAAAACTGCATAGAGGTTCCTCAAAGTCAATAGCAGAGTTCCCACATAGTCATCTCGCTGCACAGATATTTGCACCCATTTTTACTGTGGTACTGTTCACTAGACAACACAGCTCTGGTGTCCAACAGATCGGTGATTAAAGAAACGAAGTCCATTTACACATGGAATACTATTCCATTATAAACAAAAACAAAGTTATGTAATTTACAGGAAATGGATGAAACTGGAAATCATGCTAAATGAAAACCAGTTTCATAAAGATAAGCATCATATAATTCCTCTCATATGTGGGATGCAGGGACAGGGAAATAAAAGGGAACCATTGGGCAGGTGAAGGGGAACTAAAAAGAAATTATAATAAAAGGGGTGGGTATGGTCAAAGTATATTCTACAGAAATGGAAATGTCACAAGAAAACACATTAGTTTCTACAGATAGTAAAAAATGGAAACTAAAAAGTACCGTGTAAAGCTAACTTATGAGTTCAATTTGCCACACGCTACTTCGAAGATAAAGTATGGCAGTATAATAAACGAGGGGAGGAGGTAGAGATTTTACTACAGTGAGCCTTTAGCAAATTTCCTTTTTATTTCTGGTAAGGGGTTCACTATGTAACACAGGCTGCCTTCAGACTTGTAATCCTCCTGTCTCAGCCTCCCAAGGGCTTGGATTACAAATGTGCTCCCATGCTCCACCACGCCTGGACACCCCAACAAATTTTCCTAACGATACACCATAAAATACTGACAAAACTATCAAAAGTCTTACTACAACTTCAAAGCCCTTTTTCACTTTAATACTCTAGCAGCACTAGACATTATTATTATTAACCTACACTTCCAGCAATCTCAAGTTTGATGGGGGGTGGGTAAAAACATTTCCTTGATAAAAGCTATCTCAGGCAACTCTAAGTTCTTGTACAAAGTGACAGTGTAGGCACTAGATATGTAAAGTGAGAGTGTGACCCCTCCAAAGTTGAGGGGAAGGGTTTTGTTGTAGATAAGAGGGACAGAACAGCCAGAGGCATCTGGAAAAGTCCAGAGCAGAGGAAGTGGTAGGCTAAATATGGCCAACAGTTTGGACCCAGCCACAGAGAAGAGAGGGACAAGAGAGAGGGAGACAAAACAGGAGCCCAAAGAGAGCTTGACTGAAATAGCTGGGTAAGTAGGAAAGAGAAGCTGGGGGAGGGGAGACCAAGCCTGGGGTGTAGACGAGAGAGGCGAGAAGAGTCGCAGGTGGTTGCGACACTTAGGGAGTCTAGAGGACCGCATGTGTGTTGGAATGCTAACAGGCACCACAGTCAGCCAGTGGTCCCAAGTTTCTTGGATCAGACAATTGTTAAGGAAAGCAACAGCAACAAAACCCCACACCAGCACTATATTTAGAGAACTCTCGGAGTGTAGTGAAAGATTCAACAGAAGGCGGAATTTTTTGGCATGAAACCGGAGAGGTGGTCCCTGGGCTTTGAAATAAGCTTTTGCAAGTAGTGATTGTTATCTGAGTTTCTTTGTAGAAGGAATGCAGGCTTTTTGCAGGTTTTGCAGAACAGCCTCCAAACGCACTAGCAAATCACAAGTTTTGAATGACTGAGAATTGCTTAGGTAATGGTTCCTTCAAACAACTGCAGATAAAAGGTTTTGGTATGTGGAGACTGAATTGCTAAAGGTGCCTTTGTGTAACAATAAAGAGGCTTTAACCAAGCCACGAGGCGGTCGGTCTTTCCTGTTGCTGCTAGCACCTTGTAACAAGCTGGAGTGACTCTTCACTGACCTAATACCGACGTCAGAGAAAGGATAAGCTTCAAGTACCCAAAGCTTCTCCACTCCCCAGTAATACCAGCAACGGAGAGCATCCTAAGACCACCCAGTAGTACAGAAACTTACTTTTTAACAACAAAGACACTGATTCAGAAATGTCCTTAGTTGTGAGTGTACTTACATCCTTGTTTATTTATAAAGCCGCAATGAGTTGGAGTCTTTGAAAAGACCCCCCTGGTTTCGACAGTGTTAGTCACAGCCGTTACGTGCAACCACACAGGACACAACGCTATACACATGCTTTATTCGGAATTGAGCACCGTGAAAACATTTTTTAAAAAGGCCAAAATATTAATACTGTTTTTATTGAACCAGGAACTCTGGCACTGCGAGCGTGAACAATCCAAGGTAACGATGTCGTCACCGAGGGACGACCATAGGGCCCCAAATCCCTCGACTCCCGGACTGATGTTTTCCACTAACTGAGCTCCTTCCTCTCCATCAGAGAGCTGCATGTGCACGGGGCTGGAGCGGGCAGGGCGCTGCCAGGAGCCGGGTCTGCGGGGAGGGAGGGGGTGCTCTGAACCCTGAGGTCCTCCGCAGCGCTTGACACTTCGTTTCGGCGAGCACGATGAAACCCGCAGACCCCGGGGACCAGGAACTGGAGCTAGGTACCGCCTGCTATGGTAACCCTCTCCTCCTCGGGCGGGCCGTCCCAGTCCCGCGGTCCCCATCGGCCCGGCTGGCTGGCGGGGACCTCCTGGCCCTCCCTCCGGTTTCAGCCGGGGTGCGCGCCTTCCCGCGGGGCCGGGGGACCGCGTGGGTGTGGGGCTCGCCAGGACAAAGCGCGGCCAGACAGCGCGGGGCGCGCCTGCTCCCCGGAGGAAGCCGCCGTCTCCGCGCCCTTCGGGCGGGCGGGCGTCTACGGAGCGCGTGTTTACACTTTCCGACCCCCGGCGGCGGCTTCGGCGGGCATTCCAAACCGTTACTCCGCCTGCGGGGCTGGAACCCGCCCAACGGCTGGGCCTGCGCTCTGGGCGGCCGGCGCCGGCGGACTACAAATCCCAGGTGGCCTCGCGCCCCAGGGGCGGGGGCCGCGGCTTACCGACCCGCCGCGCTTCCCATCGCTGTCCCGCGGCAATAGGTGTCCTTCCTGCCGCCGAAGGCTGCCTCCTCCAGGCAGCGCTAGCAGTCTCGGCAGGGGGCCCTTGCGCCCCCACTCTTTCTGCCTCACTTCTGGCTATGCCTGACTCCCGCATGAGGGTCAGGCGGCGGCGGCCAGGGAAGGAAGCCCCGGCGAGCCAGCCGAGAGCACTTCCGCCTCTGGGCTGCGGAAGGTAGAGCGCACGCGCCCGCGGCGACTCCGGAGCGACTCACTTCCGCTCCCACTGCGCCCCGCGAGCCGAATCATGGATCACACTGGTAAGGAGGCGGAGGCAGCGGGGGTCCGGCTTTCGTGCCCCCGCGGCCCGTGTGGCGCTGGCCGCCCGGCGGGCGTGAGGGGCTGCTCTCGCCCCGCTGCGCCGGGGCATGGCGGGGCGCGGGGCGGGCTTCCAGACCGGGCCCCGGGCGGGCCTGCGGTCCCCGGCCTACCCTTCGCAGCGGTGCCCGGTCCTCGAGACCGGCGGCGCGGCCGCGGTGCTGCCGAGCTCGCCCTCCCGACCCGCGGCCGCGCAGCCCGGCCGGGAGCCGCAGAGCGCCAGTGTTTGTTTGCTCCCCCCCCCCCCCCGTTCTCGTTCCGGTTGCTCTGCGCTGTGGGCGGTCGGATTCCGCTTGCGGAATTGTTAGAGGCGTCCGGACGCTGGGCGAGAGTGGCTTAGAGACCTCGGGGAGCTGCCGCGGTGGTCACCCCCGTGGTTACTGTCCCTGCGTTTTCACGGACTAGAGGTTAGGGAAGAGAGTCCGATGTAGGTTTCCAAGTGATACAGCCGAGCATCTTTTCTGAACCCAGAATCACGCCCCACCCTTCGGCCGTGGTCCATTTGCATCTTTTGGACGCATAGACGGAAAAGGAAAAAAAAATCAGAACAAGACATTTCCATCACGTATTCCAAGTAATAGTGGCTTCAAACTTTGCTTGGCGTCGTCTTTCTTGTTCTTAGTTATTGAGTGAGTGCATTTGGCTTATTGAATGTTTCAGACATACAGACAAGCAGGAAGAAAAGGCCTTTTCTTTAAGAATTGAAGGAGATGCCCTCAGTCTTCCAGTAACTACTTAATTGTATAATTGCATGCAGATACTTGTAGGCTTGGAGATGGAATGATGGGCTGGTAAACAATAGGACTCTCTCCTTGCCATCAAAAGGGGCAGGCAGGTTGGTTTCTTTTTTTAAAAAAACTGCTTACAGATTGTGGTGAATACTTTAAGAAAGCAGGAGCTTATGGAGTAGAAATTTCAGAGAGTGCCAGGGAAAAGTGTTTCTGGAGTGGTAAGAAGATGTCGAGAAGGCCAGATGTCTGTGATCTAGTTAGCAAGAGGGAAAGCCCAAAGAAAACATGTTACTTTGTTCAGGAGCTTGAGAATCATGGCAAAGACTTTTAATTTTAAGTAGCTACAAAGCAATTGAATAAAACTAAGAGTATAATATTTTTAAAATAATCCCAACTCTTCTATGGAGAACGGTGTAGGTGAGGAAGAACAGGAATCACCAGAGGGAGGCTCAGTTTAATGAAAGTATAACTCAGCGATGGAGCACTTAACCTAGCTAAGCACAGGTCCTGAGTTCAATCCCCAGCAACGCTGTGGGGGAAAAGTTGGGCCTGGGCACAAATAATGGGCCATTGCAATAAATGTTTAGGTGGAGAATCCAACAGCTGCTAGTGGTTTGGTTTGTGGAAGTATGTGAGAGAAATGAGGAAAAACTGAGTTTCTCAGAGCATCTTGGTGCTGCATGTGTCAAATGTCCCATTTTCTAAGTTATTAATTAATGGTTGCCTGGAGAGATACAAATCATTCTAACATGAAAATAATCACTAATAAGCTAGCTAGATTAAAAAAAGAGTTTCCAGATGGCTAACCTTTGTGCTCAACACTGACTTTGTAGGTTTCAAATTGCTTGTGAGGCAGCTGCCTTAACGCTGCATTGTCAGTCGCTGCACATGCTGAGGGCGAAAAATCAAACTAAGCGAAAGACTCAAACTTTCACAAGACTCAAATACAAATTTGAAAACTTTGAATCACAGAGCCTTTGGTAAATCAAGAAAATGCCAGCTATCTAGTTAATCGGCATTTCTTGACCGGATAGGATTCTTAGAATAACGATTTTAACGTCAGAGATCAAGAGATCTTATACATGGAAGCAACGAAATAGAAATTTGCCAGAAAAAAAAATTCCAGAAACCCCCCCCCTTTTTTTTTGGTGGTTGTTTTTTGAGACATGATGTCTCTGTGTAGCCTTGGCAGTCCTGGAACTCACTCTGTAGAGACTGCTGTTTCTTTTTTTCTTCCTTTTTTTAAATTTATTTAAATCAGAAACAAGCTTGCTTCACATGTCAATCCCAGCTCTCTCTGCCTCCCTTCCTCCCCTGTTCCCCCCACCAGGCCCCCCACACCCCCACCCAATCTCCACTCCGAACCCCGGGCTGGGGGGGGGTTAGGCCCTTCATGGAGGATCTCCAGAGTCTGTCATGTCATCCAGGGCAGGGCCTAGGCCCTCCCCCAAGAGAAGACTGCTGTTTCCTTCCTTCCTTCCTTCCTTCCTTCCTTCCTTCCTTCCTTCCTTCCTTCTTTCCTTCCTTCCTTCCTCCCGCCTCAAAGAGACAAGTTGTTATTTCAAGATGAAACATCAGATGGCAAGGATAATCAGGGCGCTGTGGTCTGCAGTGGTCAAACCCTCATCATGCATCATGCAGTGAACTAAGTCACAAACAGTTTCCTCAGAAAGAACCACACGGCATGGTGTGAGCCCCAACAGCTTGCACATAGAAGTCCCCAGTTCTTACCGTGTCTCAGCTTCTCTGGAACTTCTCACTGCTACCACACAGGACACCAGGGAGACGGATGCTTCCTTAGAAAATCAAGAGACTGCTGTTTCTTAAAGCCTCATCGACTTCAGGTGATAGCATTCGGGGATGGAGAGATGGCTCAGCAGTTAGGAGTACTGGCTGCTCCTCCAGAGGATCCGGGTTCAGTTCCCAGTACCCACATGGCAGCCTCTAGTTTCAAGGGGATCTGACACCTTCACACAGACATACATGCAGGCAAAACGCAAATGCACATGAAATAAAAATAATTAAAAAACGAAAAGAGACAGCAGGCTCTTAAGAGAAAGGGCTAGGCCAGCTGTTCAAATAATGGAGGGCCCAGTTGTGTGAGGTGGTTGACGAGAGCAGGTGAAGTGTGCTGTTTTCACTAACAAAGGTGGTGTCACTAAGAAATCTTCTGATACCTGGGAAGCAACAACTTGGTTTTCATGCAAGGGGAAAAGATCGTCTGTCATATGTCTGTAGCTGGTAGGTACCTCTGTATGGATAAGCAAATGGATGAAGACTGCTGAACTACATGAACTAATGTCTATTCATTCAATTTTAGTGCAGTCTTGAAGGTTGGTCAAATTGGGTTTGTTTTATTCAAGCTTGTAGCTATTCATTTAATCCCTATTTCATGAATAGCTGTTACAAGAGTAGAAACTAGACAGCCATTTACTCATTGAGACCCATTTTGAATTACATTTGGCTTTAACGAATTTAATGGGGACAGTTGGGTAATAAGTCTTGATTGTAATTCTTGCAGTAACTGTTCAGTAATTTGTGTTTGAAACATTACAATTTTAAAGTTACATTTGTATTTCCTATTTTTAAGCACTTAAGGTAATGTTGAATATTTTGTGTTACATATCTTTGTGTACTTAGAAATATAAAGTTCTATATGAGTCAGTCATGTGAAATAATGAACCTATTATTTGTAGATAATAAGATTTTTAAAGACTTGAAAGTGTCAGTTGTTGAGACCTAAGTCTAAATTACAGTTTTCTATTGCAGTGTTAACTTTCTAACTAAGTATATGTTACCCATGTCTCTAGAAATGTTATAACACACTGTGTTGTATTAAATGGTATAATTTATGTAGCTCCCTTGAATACTTTTTAGAAAAAAATGTATGCTTAAAGGATAGGCCAGCAAGATGGCTTAGCAGGTAAAGAAAGACCTGCTACCTGCCAAGGACAGGAATTCAAAATCTGGGCCTTGTGGTGTCTGGGAGAGAACCAACTCCCACAGTTGCTTTCTGACCTGCATATATCCACTGTGCCCCCCCCACACCAGATTGAGTTGGAGTTCTAATTTTATTGTTTTTATGTAAATTACTAAATTTACTGGGTGGGTACTTTATATAGAGGCAATTTTGGTTTTTCTTTATATTTAAAAATCTATTACAATATGTATGATTTTTTTCTTGGGTTATTTTATTAATAATTTTATGTGCATTACTATGAGGATGTCGATTCTCTAAAACTGGAGTTATAGGCAGTTACGAGCTGCCGTGGGGTGCTGGGAATCGAATCCCGTCCTCTGGACGAGTGGCCAGTGCTCTTGACTGCTGAGCATCTCCAGTTCCTCTCTATTGTTAAATGTTTGTTTCTGTAAATTACTATGGAATTATATGGGAATTTTTAGTGTTCAAAGTTCTAGAAAGAGATAAAGCTCCTGTAACTTTTATCAGCTTCTGAAAGGGTTCTGTGTCTTAAGGGTAACCAAAAGCATTGCTTTAAAGGTTTATCCCAAATGAAGAATGTTAGCAGTTATACTTAGGTCAGTCTTGTATTTAAAATCAGAACCAAGATCTTTAATTTATTGTTTGATGTTGATTTTTATCTTTACATTTGTAGAACAATTTTCAAGAAGAAAGGTGAAAGAAATTACAATTTCTTCTGTTCCATTCATTATAGACAATGAGTTACAAGGCACTAACAGTTCTGGAACCTTGGGTGGTCTTGATGTTCGCAGAAGAATTCCTATAAAACTCATCTCCAAACAAGCCAACAAAGTTAAACCTGCACCTCGAACTCAAAGGACTATTAGTAGGATGCCTGCAAAGGCCCCACCAGGTGATGAAGGTAACAGTTGTGTTGTTTTATCTGAGTGCACTTGATTTTATTTCCTTAAACCTATTTTTAAAATTTTAACCTTGCACTTTATTTTCTAACCTTTCTTTTTCCTCCCTTTGTAAGCCCCCTTACAACCTTTTCAAAGAATCTGATCAATATTGCAGAGGGCAGTACATTAAAAGTAAAATTTGTTTTCACAATCTTTTCCAAAACTAGTGTCTGTAAAGAGAGGCTTTGTCCTTGAGAGAAGCCTTCCTGCCAGCCTGGTTCTAGAGCCACATCAGTCCCAAATAAACACACAGGAGGCTATATTAATTATGAAACTGTTGGCCTTGCTTGTTTCTTACTGGCTAGCTCTGACTTAAGTAATTACCCCATAATTGTTAATCTAAGTATATCTCTTACCGGAGAAGTTTCCAGGCTTCCTACCCCATGGCGTTACATCTCGACTCTCTTGTGTTTCTCCTTCCCAGAGTCCTCCTGGACTCCTAGTCCCTCCTATCTAGATTCCTATTGGCCCAACAGTGCTTTATTGACATAAGACTTCCCCAACAAGTGTCTGTTAAGATTTTTTTTTTAAGCTGGGTGATGATGGCCCATGCCTTTAATTCCAGCACTTGGGAGGTAGAGATCAGCCTGGTCTACATAGTAAGTTGCAGGGCTACACAGAAATTTTGTCTAGAAAAAAACCAAAAATACTGAGGTGGGATGAAGGGGTGTTTTAGCCACTGCAAACTTTTTTCTGCTTATTTGTTTTGCTGTAACTGTTGTAGTATGAACATTAAAAACTTGCCTTGAGGGATGGCAAGGTTAGTGGGTGAGGGCAATTGCCATATAACCCTGGTGACTTATGCCAACCCCTAGAACTAATGTAAAAAAGGAAGGTGAGAATTGACGTTCAGAAGTTGTTTTCTGACCTCCACTGGCATACTGTGTCACATGTCCAAACCCATCCATCCCTCCCATATCATGTACACAATAAATCAAAGAAAAAATTTTAAAGACCTGATTTGTACATTTTAGAACTTACCAGTTCCTGCTCAGTTACTCTTCAGAAAGGGTTTGTTTGTTTACACTCACACACATCATCATTTTTATTATTAAACTTTTTTTGAGTCAGGGTCTCCATCCTCGACTTTGGCAATCTTGCTGCCTTATGGGATTGTAGGTAGGGCCACCGTGCCCGGTGACAGAAACTCAAGTGTATGCAATGCCATCTCTTGTCTGAGTTCCTCCATCGGTTTTTGACTGATATCTATCTCTTAGCTTTTGCATTCTTTGTAAAAGTGACAGTGTTAAATGTCAGTGAAGGTCATTTATCTTTTGAATTTTATGTATAGAGCTTTACTGTAAAGAATTGGAACATTCTAGGTGGTCTGTTAGCTAGAGTTTGTTGTTTCACCTTCCTGTCTTACCATTTATTAGAAGTTAGCAGACTGGTCTACAGGTGTAGTTTGGTTCCTTTAAAAAAAGTAAAGTTTCCATTCAGTTCATTATTGCCCATAGCTGCTTTCCCGCTGTCATGGCAGAATGGCGTAGATTGATGTGACCTAGAAAGCCTCAAATTTGTACGATATGACCTTTTTTTTTTTTTTTTTTTTTTTGTTTTACCAGAGTTTCTCTGATTGTTTTGGAGGCTGTCGGTCCAGCCTGGCCTCGAACTCACAGAGATCCGCCTGCCTCTGCCTCCCGAGTGCTGGGATTAAAGGCGTGCGCCACCACCGCCCGGCCGATATGACCTTTTATAGCCACAGTTTATCCCATGTTTAGAACATTTATGGGCATGTATCTTTAAAGTCAGGTCTTGCTTTTTTAATTTTTACTCCAAAACAGTTTACCAACTCCCCAAATTCTGGGTACTCTGTCTTTTTCCTTCCAGAATGGAATCTTGCTGTTAGCACACATTCAGGCACTCCTAAATTCTGTTCTTATGATCTGTCTCATTTCGGAACCGAACTGCTTTCATTGTATTTTATAGTGTATTCTCCTGTAAGGTTTGTCTCCTATGCTAAGATAGTAGATTTGAAGTTAAATGTTGTCAATCACGTAGTGAGTTGGGATGTGCTTGGTGACATAGCATATTCTCAGCATGCGCATGGCTGTAGGTGGCTGCTGCACTTTTGTAAGCTAGGCTTCCCCATCCATGCTGACAGTTGTAAATTATTTTAACTGCCCATAATATACTTTTTATAATCAAAGTGCAAAAAAAGCCAAATTCTCCCTTCTATACTTCTTCCTGTTGGCAGAATTTTTCGTTGGGACTGCTAGTTCCCAAATAACCACTATAAGACTTAGTAATTATAAAAGTTCAGCCAATAGCTCAGGCTTATTACTAGCTAGTTGTTACAACTTAAATTAACCCATTTCTGTTAATCTCTATGTTGTCCTGAGGCTGTGGCTTTTACCTGTCTTGCATGTCCTGCTTCCAGCAACTCCTCTGACTCCACCCTTTTTCCCAGCATTCTCTCTGCCCTGAAAAATCCTGCTTAGCCGTTGGCTAATCAGCTTTGTATGAACAGTGAGAGCAGCACATGTTTCCCATGTGTAGGAAGGTTGCTCCACAGCATTTTCCTCTAGGCATTTCACCCACACCCCAAAGCCATGCAGCCTCTTTTATAGGAGCTACTATTGCTCTTACAGAAGAGCAAACTGACCTGAACGATCATCTCTGAATTTAAAAATATTTCCTTGTTCTAAAATTTATCAAAATGGAGTTTTGGGTGCAAGTATGATAACTGTAAATACATGCTTAATGATAAGAGAACAGCTTGTGCCACTCAAAAGTGGTCGTGTGTGCCATGCTTCCCTAGACCGCTGACCTCATTAGGTTTTGGGTTTGACATACTTACTCTCCTTAGCTTGAATTTTAATGACCACAGTTTTTATGAAGTTTAAATGGGCCATATAAGAGCTTAGGGCACTCACTTGTCACTCACAGGAACGTGATGGCTTTGAACTGTATAGTTTTGTTGGGATTAATTAAAAAGTGTAGTGTAGCCAGGTGATGGCTGTGCGTGCCTTTAATCCCAGCACTTGAAAAAACAAAAAACAAACAAAAGGTGTGTTGCTATATTTCCTTTAAAAACTGGCTTGACTTTCTGTGTGTGCATTAGTAGCTGCGCACAGGATGTGTGCTTTCGCCTCTCTGTTTACCAGCTCTACAGCCAAGGGAACCTTAATACCTTAGAGAGACTTTGTTTGGGGCTTTGGGGGGGGAGTTTTATGAGACACAGTTTCTCTATGTAATCATGGTTGGCCTGGGACTTGCTTTATAGACCAGGGTGGCCTTGAACTCAGAGATCCACCTGCCTCTGCCTTCGGAGTGCTGGGATTAAAGGTGTGTGCCACCACCTGCCCAGTGTTGTTTTTGTCGTCTTAGCTTTACTTAGGTAATTGGAGTCTACCCGGACTTCTCATCAGACTGTTCATTGGTTTTGTGTTGTTTTGCTTGAGATGAGAGACTTACTGTCAACTTTTCAGTTAGACTAGAAATATTCAGCCCATTTGATCTTCATAGTGTCCTGTTACATGATATTTATATATGCTCTAAATGACCGGATACTGGTAAGTATTTTGCCTCTTGCAGTTTGGGTTGTTGACTAGGGAGAGGCTTTCGCTAAAAGGATCAGGTGTATTCAGCTGTTATTTCTGAAACCATTCTCACTTTGAGGGAGATCATAAAAAGGCTGTAGAATTCATTTAATCCTTTGGCAATCAAATGAGTCTCTTATAGCCCAATACCACTTTTGTGGTGCTTTAGAATAGATGATGATGATACTTTAAAATCTGGGCAGTAAACATAGTGGCAGTTGTTGAGGTTTTATAGTAGAGGTGTGTGTGGAGTTAAGAGCATCGGGTCTGTTTTTGGCCCTGAAACTGAGCTTATTTGGTGGCTTCTGTACACACTGCATATCATCCTTGTAAAGTATAGAGATGGACTAGATGATCACCAGGATCAGCTGGCATTTTAAACTAGTTTTGATTTTCATGTTCTTAGATCTTTGAAAGTCATCAGAAACAGTTTTCAGTAAATAGGTCTATTTTGTCATATAAATAATCTTTAACTATGAAATTTGAGTTGCAAAATGTAACATAACTTCTTTTCCTCAGAAGGATTTGATTATAATGAAGAACAACGGTATGACTGTAAAGGAGGCGAACACTTTGGAAATCAGCGAAGATTTCCAGGACACCTTTTTTGGGATTTTAAGGTATAACTAAAAAATCTATATATATATGCATTAGATACTGATATAAATATTTAGTATGTCTGTAATTTAGCACACATAAATCCAGTTGCTTGTTTCTACATCTCCCAAAAAAGTTTGAGGTAATTTCAGTAAGCCAATAAAATCAACTGCCACTATTTAAGGAAAATAAGCAAACGGGGTTACAATAAGCAGCTTTTATTTCTGTTGTTAGTAACAACTGTTACTAGATTCTAACAATTTCACTGTGTGAACTGATAAGTACAATTTTCAGAATTGCTTAGAGGAGGTTTTAATTACCATTTCCACAGATAAACATCTTGGGTGAAAAGGATGATACCCCAGTTCATTTCTGTGACAAATGTGGATTGCCTATTAAAGTCTATGGGAGAATGGTAAGTACAAAGAAAGTAGTTTTCTAGATGAACCACACATCTGTGTAAAGGTGGGATTCTGAAATAGAGCTTACTATTCTTATAACTAAGTTTAAAGCATAGTGTGCAGGAAGAAGCTAAGGAAAGTTTTATTAGTTATTCTTTACTGTTTTGGAATAGTTTCAGGAGAAACACAGTAAGATAAAACACTTTAGTGTTCTTTTTCAGGAACTCTTAACTTGCAGGGATTCTATCCAACATTGATAGGTTCACGTACCTATCTGAAAATAGAAGCAGGTGCCAGGCAATCTGGTAATCCTAGCACTCTGAAGATTGAGGCAGAGGGATCAGCGACATCAGAACTTAAGGCCAATCTGAGGTACATGTGAAATCCTGTCTCCAAAAATGAAAAGCAAAAGCAAAGCATTAGCAGATGTACATATATTTATTTATTGGGAAAAGAGCCAAAGTTTTCAAAACATTTTCAGAGACTTGTGCATACCCTTAATTCCAGCACTCAGGAGGCAGAGGCAAGCAGATCTCTGAGTTTGAGATTGGCCTGGTCTCCAGAGTGACATCCAGGACAGCTAGGGCTACACAGAGAAACCCTGCCTAAGGGGGAAAAATATCAATTAATCAAACAAATGTTAGCTGCTACTGGTGTAGAGAGGTCTTAAGTTCTCATTTAAATAATTCCTGTGTGCTTTCTGTGTGTTCTGTTACTGAAATATTACAAGTTGTTCTAGGATGCCTAACTATGCTATTTTTTTGTCTACAGATTCCATGCAAGCATGTCTTTTGCTATGACTGTGCTATTTTACATGAAAAAAAGGGAGATAAGATGTGCCCAGGGTAAGATAGATATAATCTTCTTATTAATAGTAGTGCCTTATAAGCAAGCTGGGTTTGAAGGTTGTGAGTATGGAAATAGACAGGGATGCAGATGTGCTGCTGGCTGAGTTGGTCTTAGCCCTCTCTGCAAATAGAGCTATCCATTGTTAGCTATTCCGAGTAGCTAAAACAGTGAACTCTCTTTGATGCCATGGGAATGGTGTTGGAAATGAGAACCATTGTTTTGTTTGTTTGATGGGATACGGAAGCAAGCATAGTACCCTTGGTGATTAAGAACAGTGTCTGTCTGAAATTAAAACTCACATTGTTTTTAATTACTAGCTGTGTGTGAACAACGTGTGGAAGTATGAGCATGTTTAAGGGTCAAAAGGCCACTTTGTGGGGTCAGTTTTCTTCTTCCAACTTTGCGTATGTTCTGGGGACAGAACTTGGATTAGCAGACTTGCATAGTGAGCCCTGTATCTGCTGAGCTGTCTCACTGGCCCCAGGGTTGGAGTTCTTGAGTTCAAGTCTATTTTGCTCTTTTTTAGCTGTGTGATGTAAGTAGCTCCCTGGGTGGGTTATTTTGATGATTGCATGAAGGTGACTGGGTAGATAGATGCCACAGTAGAGTCTGGCATATGATAAACACTATGTTATGAAAGTTCTCTTACCATATACAAAACAGATGCTTTAAGTGATACGGCATTATGATAGACTCAAAGTTATGCATCAGGGGGTCTTATTTTGGGATGGCTCTAGAATAAAATGGAATTTATGTTAATTTAGAACCCCCTGATAAGATAAGGAAGCCTTGAGAAAAACGGAGTGAAACTTCTTGGATTAGCTTGCAGCTTCCCAGCTTCTCTTTAAACCCATACTTGAAAGTACCCCAAGCATTGTATTGGTTGCTAATGAAGATAGAAACAACTATAAGGAAAGATTTTCCCCTTATGGTGTAGGAAAAGGACATTGCTGGGAAATAACCAAATGACAACTGATTTTCTTGACATGTTTTTCTGGGTTTTTAAAGTTACAGATTTTAAAATATATACCGTGTTAAAAGAATAGTTCTATAGACATACTTCAATTTCATATTCAAAAGAATATGAAATTGAAGTATGTATTATAGCCTTTGGTGGGTGTTTTCTCTAATGCCTATTTCCCAGCCCGGTGTACATTCATTTTTAAAATTATATAGCAAATATGCTTGTTCCATTAAGATAAAGGACTAAAATGTGATGAGACATTACATGTAGTGAACATTAAGATTTTCTCTTTTACATAGACGATCTCATATTAATATTTAAAAGCAAAATTTAGTTTTCAGGTAACTGTCTTCCAGTGTGCACCTCACTTATGTAGTCTTTAGCTATCTCGAGAGAAGCCTGTTGAGACCAGTTCAGGAAGCCAAGTTAGCAACCAGGATTAGTATGGTTAGTACGTATTACTGCCTTTAAGCATATTTCAAAAGACAAGGCCTTGACATGTCTGACGTGGAGGTGTTTCTGGGTGTATGGGGATCAGATGTGGGAAAGGTCGCAAAGGCTTCGCACTAGCATCAGAAGCGCTGCCTGCAGCGAGGTGGGCAGCGACACCGGAGCTTGGCAGGTCCGTACCATTCCTGGTACAGCTTGTAGTAAGCTAGAGAAAATTGGTGAGCTCTGAGTTTGGGGAAGGAGAAGGTCTCTTAAGACATACTGTGGTATAATTCCCAGTTCTAAGATAAGTGTCTCAGGTGGGCAGAAATGTAACGGTTAGTGTGTGAGACAGGTAGAGATTAAAGCTGCACTAGCAGTGATTCAATACTCTTAGCTTTTGCAGATACGTAACATTGTTAAAGCAAGCAAAAAGGTTAAGTGTGCTCGTTTGTATTCTGTTTTAGTTAATCAACTTTTCCCTCCCTGTTCAGCTGTAGTGACCCTGTGCAGCGGATCGAGCAGTGTACACGAGGCTCTCTCTTCATGTGTAGTATTGTTCAGGGCTGCAAGCGAACATACCTGTCTCAGAGAGACTTGCAAGCTCACATCAACCATCGCCATATGAGAGCTGGGAAGCCTGTTACCCGGGCTTCCCTTGAGAACGTCCACCCTCCTCTTGCCCCCCCCGCCAGCCGACATCCCCGACCGCTTCCTCATGCCCCCAGACAAGCACCACGTGAGCCACCTTCCTCCCAAGCAGCACATCCTGATGCCGCCCCCGCCTCTGCAGCATGTGCCGCATGAGCACTACAGCCAGCCCCACGAGGACATCCGCGCTCCTCCAGCAGAGTTGTCCATGGCGCCGCCGCCGCCGCGGTCGGTCAGCCAGGAGACCTTCCGGATCTCCACAAGAAAGCACAGCAATTTAATCACGGTCCCTATTCAGGATGACTCAAGTTCAGGTGCTAGAGAGCCACCGCCTCCTGCCCCAGCTCCTGCTCACCATCACCCCGAGTACCAGGGCCAGCCCGTGGTCTCCCACCCTCACCATATCATGCCTCCACAGCAGCACTACGCACCACCCCCGCCGCCGCCTCCACCAATAAGCCACCCAATGCCACACCCTCCCCAGGCTGCAGGTACTCCTCACTTGGTGTACAGCCAAGCCCCGCCTCCACCAATGACCTCGGCTCCGCCACCAATAACCCCTCCCCCTGGACACATTATTGCTCAGATGCCACCTTATATGAGTCATCCTCCTCCAGGACCCCCCCCACCGCAGCATGGCGGGCCACCCGTAACTGCACCCCCCCCCCCTCACCACTACAACCCTAACTCTCTACCCCAGTTTACTGAAGATCAAGGAACTCTGAGCCCTCCATTTACACAACCAGGAGGAATGAGTCCTGGCATTTGGCCTGCACCACGAGGGCCGCCGCCACCTCCACGAATGCAGGGCCCGCCTTCTCAAACCCCACTACCTGGACCACATCACCCAGATCAGACAAGATACAGACCGTATTACCAGTGATGATAGTGTTGGACTGAAAATCTGACAAGGAGAAAGATCAGATTAGTCAGTCTTTTAACTCAGCTCTGACTGCTGGGGGAAGGAAAAATGCCTCTCATGAGGTGGCTATAAAACACAGTCTTGTCCCATAAAATGCTTTTATGTCTTGACCTTAGGATGGCTTTCATATACTACAGCGCACATGCGTGGCTCGGTGAGCACAACTCTATCTTAGCAACTGTTACTTTGGTGTGGTAAATTGACCCAGAAATGACCATTTGTAAGACATTTGAAAGTTTTTCACTGTTCCGTTTTCAAAAAAACTGCTTTTATTAAACCCAATGTTAGTTTTTCTTGTGATGCATTTTGTTAACCTATATAAGGATTAAATTTCAAGGTGGTTGTAAAAATGCTGTCTTTATGTAAATGTAAGTGCAGCCACGTAAATTTTTAAAACCGTATGTTTTACCACTAATTTTCCAAAGCTAAAGTCCTCAAAGTAAAAATCTACTAAGATTGTTACCAGGCAGACTGTTATGTGATAGGGAATTACTTCACATTTTAGGCACTGAAACTTCAAGGGTATTAATTATGTAGTGCACTTCACGTGGATTCCTTCTGTCCTTGTACTGCCTCAGGAACGCCAAAGTACATCCAATTCCTATAGTGGTGTAGTTGTTTGACATGTCCCGAGACATTCTAGTCATCAGGAAAATGACTGGCCTGCCAGATTCCAAGTAAACTGCTGATGAGATGCTGTTCTCGTTGGTGGTTTTTCCTGAGTGGTTAAAGTTACCTAATTCGTCACACTTAATCTTAAGTTATATCACTTTATAGGGTTGTTGGAATGGTGTTGCTTGGATGAAATGTGTTCTGTGTTCACTGTTAACCTACAGATGTAGGTCTGACTGGGCTTTATTTAAATCTGCATTTCTTCATAGTGGTTTGGTTCTGTGCTTTATTGTGTTCTTGTTTATGAGTTATAAACTGCAACTTGAGTGCTGTAGAGGAATTTGACTAATGTATTAACAAAGAGTGTTGTAAAACCGCAAAATAGCATTTACTCAGGTTTCATTGCTGTGATGAGTTTTTCCTTTTAAGTTGAAAATTTTTAAACTATCATTTTTTTTTGTAAAGCATTTTAACATTGTAGCATGGAATCAATAGTGAAGACAACCAGATAATTTTGAATTGGACAGAAGAAAAATAATAATTAGATTGTGAATTTCAGTGCCGTGTAAGGTGCCTTTGGAGTCAGTGTTTGCATTATAGGGGCTTGTTATAGTCCATTGAAGATGACCACTCAGTCTAGACAGCTTTCCTATGTAGAAGTCAACATTCTTAGGATATTATTATATATATCCTTTGACTTGACTAAACCCTTGCGAAGCTTTCCTTCCCCCCCTTAAAATGGTGCATAATATAAACATGGTGTGTAGTATGCAGATACCATTTATTAGATAGTTTGTAGTATGTAAATTTAGAACATTGGTTTTTGACAAAGGATATACTGATTGGTAGTTCACCATTGTATTCTGTCAGGTACAGGAGTATTCTCATGTTGGATGATCAGATGAAAATCATTTCTGAACTTAACACTGAAGTAGGAAATAATATAAATGCCGTTTCAGCCTTGGCTGGCCAAAAATAGCTAATGCAGTTTTTCTTGAGCAAGTGGTTTCCCTCACATATAGCAGTTTGAGAGTCTGGTTTGCTCATGCACTATTTCTTGTGAGAATTTTTTGTTATTAGAAGCATGGAAGTGAAATAGTGTAACACGGTGGTGAGTGTTTCTATCATATTACTGTAGGTACTTGGATTGGTGCAAACTTGATTCCATTTTGTACCCGTTTAGGAGCTATTTAAATATTACTGTTAAAATCCTAATCACTCTGTTTCATGTAATTAGAAAATAGCTGGACTCATGTGAGAACTTCTTAACTGTTCAGGAGAGTCTCTTCTGTTAAGGTTTACTGGGGTGCTGGATGTGGTAAGAAACCACTTCACCTGTATTTTGGACCAAAAAAAAATCAGTATCATGAAAAAAAATCCCACATTAGGACAATTCTTGTAGGCTTTAAACAACAGTTTCAGTTATGTTAATACGCATTAAACTGGGAGCCAGGTCAGGTGAATGTCTTGTAATAGACAAAATTTTAAATGTTAGACTTTGATTTCATCAGCCAATTGTTTGAATGAAGGTGGGTGGGTAGCAGATGCCAGGATTGTTGTTAAGTGTTTCTGTTTTTAAGGAAAAAGTTGTGAATCCCAGTGCATTTCAGGGAATGCTTTGACGCTCTCTATGACGGACAAAGTCTAAATGTATGTATGTTTCATTAATTGCTCTTAAGACTACTGAGGTGACAGTTCAATTCTTTAAAACAATAAAATGGAAGCATAAACACTGTTTTGCTGAGATGAGTTTTTAACCTAATAATGACACATTTGGGAGACTGCAGAACTTTTCACTGCTCCACGCTAAAATTAAGTTCACTTTTTTAATGCTTATAAAGTTGGCTGGTATATTTCTTTGGCATATTTGGTCAGTGTTTGTGAGAACTTTTCAGTATTTGGGAAAAGATCCATTTCCAAGATTGTAAAGAGCCGTTCTTATTTTCCTGTAAAAGCTACTTGTTCACAGTTGAGCAAATACTAGTCAGACATAACGGAAATATAAATAGAAGAGATTGAGTGTTTTTATAATTTTTACATAGTGGCTGTTTGCTGTGTGAGGCGCACAGCCCTGCTTAAAGAGTGTCTTACAGGTTTTAGAGAAAGACCTTCATTTCTGTTTCAGATAATTTAACATCAGAATTATGTGATAATTGTAGTACCTAGAACAAATGTTTCTCAGATTGGTCATCTGATTAACAGTTAGACTCAAACGTACTCTGTTCTGATTGAAATTAATTTATTTTATCCACTGGTTTGTAATGTTCAGATCTGACTGGGCACCACACGGAATTTGCTTATTAGAATAGTTGTACCATCTGATTGAGCAGCGCTGGCTGTGCTAAGCTTAGGAGTGCCAGATAAGCCAGGCAACTGTTCTGAATGCCCCTAAGAAGCACTGCTTGGTTTTCAAACCCTTCAGTTTTCCCTCACTGAAGGGAGCACTTCATGGAGAGTGCTACAAAGACATAGTTACTCTCAAGTTCCACTGTCTCGTCCCCTTAGGTTTCAGGCGGGAATGACGGGATGAGGACTCACACGGGCAGAGCCTTCCTTTTGGAGACTGGTCAGCTCGCCTGATGAGTAGTTAAGTTTTAGTTACAAATCTGACAACTAAGTAGGCTCCATGACCTAGAAATACCCTAATCCCTGCTAAGTGTGTTTCATAAAGTCATTTACTGATTTTATACTGAGATACTGTAAGATATATAGATTCATTTACTGAAGGTTTTACACACCGGACAGCCTTAAGCACTTGCCATGCACAGTCCTCAGAGACTGCCAATCCTAAGTGTAAGTCATGTGCCACGTTAGGGTTCGTCAGAACCCAGTTAGCATAATTGAATGGTAGTTTGTAGCTTTAGCGGAATGGCATTGGAAAGGTGGTGTTTGAGCTAAGGCTTTGGAAGTCCTGTTGAGTGGGGGCAGAGCTCTTCAGACTTCTTAAGGACTCGCCTAACATTGTAGTAATGGGTGAATAGAATAAATGAGCAGAATTGGCTCAGGGAGAACACCTGGCTAGCATTCACAGACCAATAGGTTTGGCCCCCAAGACTTGACAAGGTTGTTAGCAATAAGGACCTTATTCTGATGACAAAGACTTTGTGACATTCCATATAAAGAAGTGGACGACCTGGCTCTTTATAAAAAGGATTGATTATTCTGGCTGTATGTTAGGGAAAGATGGAAGCAGAAGCCAGTCCAGCCCGCTGTTTAATTATACTAGGGATGATGATAGCATTGCAGTTATTAACTGGGTAGCTCAGGACTCTGTGTGTGTGTGTGTGTGTGTGTGTGTGTGTGTGTGTGTGTACTAGGGATGATGATTGCGGTTATTAACTGGGTAACTCAGACTCTGTGTTTGTGGGTGCGTGTGTGTGTGTGTGTGTGTGTGTGCGTGTGTGCGTGTGTTTTAATTATACTAGGGATGATGATAGCATTGCAGCTATTAACTGCATAACTTGAGGACTGTGTGCATAATGCATGTACACAGAAGAGCTACACCGACAGTGTTATATGGATACATAAAGAATTTACAAAGTAGACATGGTAACTACTCTACAGCCTACATTCTAATTCAAAAGATTTTGTAAGTATTTATTATCCAGGTATAGAGATCAGAAAGAATGTTCACCCTTAAAAAGGAATTACCAGGGCTGGAGAGGTCACTCAGTTAAATATTACTGACTACTCATCCAGAGGACTTGGATTTGATTCTATAATTCCAGCCCCAAAGGATCTGATGCCTTCTGTCACAGAACACTCATACATTAGAAAAAAAGAATTTAAAAATGAATTACTAGATAATAAATACAAAAACCATAACCTAAAATTACAAAAAATACAAATCATAACAGCCTTGTAGGTTGTTTAATTGTACAATGTTAGATTAACTTCAGAAGAACCAGCATGTACCTATACTATTTCTGAGTTAAGTCCTACCTGTAATCAGTTTTTAGACATTGTAACTTCTTTTGGGAGTTTGTTTCCTAGAACCTAAACTAGAAGCTGTTCAGTGTAGACTACAAAGAATAGCCTGACAATTTCTGTAGCCGTATCGCCTGTCCTCTTTGAATCTTGGTTTGGTTGGCTTTCCTAAAATGCGAAGCAGACCTGGTGGAGGGGAATGTGGTGTACTCCTGTAGTCCCGGGCTTGGGAGGTTGAAGAGAACCAGGAAACCTCAGCAGCATCTTCCAGGCTAGCCTAGGATTCAGGAGCGCATCTCAAACCCGGAAGTAAACAGCAGACCGAGCTCCACCCCGGCCGGCCCCAAGAATCTTCACTATATGAGGGCTATTTGGAGTGTGTTGTGTACGTTCTGGTCAGGGTTTCCTCAGATTTTGTTTTGTTTTTCCTTTGGAGCTTGAAGAATAGAGTCATCATTCACAGAGGAAAAAAGATGAAAAATGGGATCCATGGAGATGCTTTAAAAAAAAAAAAAGGACTTCTCCCTTTCTCTGTTCAGGCACTGTAGAGTCAGGCTCCAGATCAAAAGGTGCAACTCTGTCGGGCAGCAACACTTATCAGAGCTAAATTACGAGGTAATTGTGGCAGGTATTGGCTTCAGCTGATTCCTCAATTTGAACAATGCTTCTGCCGCCAGCTCTTTAGTTTCCTTTTCAATGTTGCTCTGATTTCTCAAAGTTTTATTTTTATCTCTACCAACACAGTACTTTATCCTCTCTCTGATCAGGGGTTGGATTTCTGTACTAGCTTCAGTTTTGGCTATGAAGCAGACAAGTTAAGGTAGAGGTCCACAAATTCCCATTCCTCAAAACACCACTGCCTTAGAGCAATTGAGAATGAACTCAGCCTGTTGAGATGTTAGGGTTAGCTGTGTTGTGATAAGGGCACTAGGAAGTTGTGCCCGCTCTCTAAGATTTCCTTGGCAAGATTGTAGGGAGTGCCATTGCCTCAGATAACAACTGCAATATGGGTTTGACTCTTTGGCCCCTATGAAGGAAAAGCTCTTTGTGCACCTTGAGGTGTATTTTGACAGCAAGTGTGCAGAGGCTAGTCTAGACAGTGGGATTGGCTTTCCCTTTCAGAGTAACCTGGTGCTTACTTGAGGATACTGAGTTGTGTGCCGCTGCTGCCGCTGTTTTAATTTCCAAGTGTCACATGAGTATGTGCACGTTTGCCACAGGAACAAGGCCAGTGAGCAACTCAAGGGTGCTGGATCTCACTCTCCAGCAAAAAGTCAACAACACCTCCTGCACTGTGAGTTACCAACAAAACATGCCTTTTCCGATTGGCTTCTCTCCCAGTGAGACCAGGAAGTAATGATTATCTGTTCACATCTTTCCTCTTACCGTCCTGCTTTGTCATTTTATAGCCCCGTTATCTTATGTGGTTTTCATAGAAGGGAGGGAAGTAAGGAATGCCTCTAAAGTCACTTACGTATTACTTTCAGATATCACATTGGGAGGAGTGTCTGTATCTAGATAGCTTAGAAGCCTTAAAAAGTGGAGTGGTAATACTAAAAATCTGGTCAAAAGGTCCTATTACAAAGTTCTGTTAAAAGATTCTCATAGCAGCGTTGCCACAGCACTCAAGAAGGGAGCCACAACAATCATGGTTCAGAAAACCAACAAATGTAGTAGAACAGCACACACCTGCACAGCTAATTGTTAAAACAGAGATGTATTCGCATGCCCCGTATAAATTAGAGTCAAAGTGGTGCTGTAAATACACCACAAAACATTGTGCATGAAGATAATGACTTGGATAGGAATCTGTCAGTGCTACAAAAATACATATAAACAAAATACTTTTCCACCTTTGATACGTCTACAAGGCAGAAAGTTAGGAATATGTACATAATTTCATACTAGATATGTGAAAAATATACCATGTAGAACAATCTCGTTCCAAAGTTTGAAACATAACTCTGTCAAATAAAAATATCATTCATACAATGTATGAACTGGCAATAACTTTCTAGGTATAAAGTTGTTGATATGACAGATGAGAACCCTCCTGAATTATATCTTGATTAGAATTTCGTTTCCATTGGTACCTGGAAGAAAACAAAGGTTTTGTTTTAAATACTTTGTTAAGTTTCCTTTTCAGCAATTCTTTCTTAGGGTCTGGAATTTAAGAGTTACCGATTTTTAAAATCTTTTTAAATGACTTATTTCCTGTGTATGGGTATTGCCTGAGCGTGTGTATATGGGTCATGTACATGCCTGACGCCTGCAGAGCCCAGAAGACCACAGGATCCTCTGGGATTTGGCTTACAGAGGGTGGTGAGCTACCATGTCAGTGTTGAGAATTGAACCCAGGTCATCTGAAAGAACTGCCCATGCTCTTACTGACTCATCTCTCCAGCTTAAAAGCATCTTTAATGACCTTCTAGTGCTGCTTGGTTAAGATGGATCCATGCACTGACACATTTAATTTGTTTATGTTTCAAAGACCTATTTGTAGCTTAAGCGAAGTACCAATACAATATGTTGTAACAATATATGTCCTTATATTTGTTTTGAGTGACCCAAGCTCCAGGCAGCCTTAGATACCAGTCAGCCACCTTGCTTTGTTTTTAAATTCTTTTTTACATTTATTTGCTCATTCACTTATTTACTTGGTGAAGAGAGAGGCATGCCATAGTGTACATGAGAGAGTTGGTTCTCCCATTGTGTGGGTTCTGGGAATCGAACTTAGGTCATCAGGCTTGACAGCAAGTGCCCTTATACACTGAGCTAGCTCTTTGCCTTCCCATTCTGATTTTACCCCACAGCTGGTGGCCTATCCACAGCTGGTGTTTTATTTTCCTCTAAGCAAATCAAGAAACTGGTGCTAAAGTTCTGTTTTCTCAGTATGGGAAGCCAAGGTATGTATCAGGTGCTAGCTCCATTCTGATTTAAGTGCTGTTCTTAGATTTCATCCCTTAGTACTGGATGACAATTCTGAAGCCAAGCTGGGCGTGCATATGTCTGGGTCCACGCTAGGAGGCAGCATCGTGCTTGCCCCGCCCTCAAGTCTCCCTGCTAACCCTAGTCACCTTTGCTGTCTGCTGTCACTCTGGGTCAGGATTACCTGACCCCGTGCCCTGATTCGTGTCTAATCTGCATTCCTGCTTGCTATTCTTAGAAATATCAGCAGCCACCTCCTGTACTTGATGACAGTCATTAGATTCTTCTTCAGGGACCTTAATCAGTCTTTAACTGAAGTATAGAAGCGGTATACTATGATAAGGTGGAATACAGGATTTGTCATCAGTTCCTAGGTCACCTTCTGTGGCTGCCATTCAGTGTGTGACCTCACACAAATTAGTTAAGTTCTCTGAGTCCACTTACCAACACCCTCATTTGAAATATGTTGTCCTTGTATGAAGTCACTTTAATGCACAGATATTGTCTTACAGGACTGAATATACTAGAAATGAATATCCTAGAATGAATTGGAACTATCCATTTACATAATTGGCAGCTCATTCTAGTAAGGAAGGAAAGGAACTTTACTTTCATGCTGAGCTAACAACTGTTCTAGGGACTTTAATGTACCTGTATATCTGAGGGTACCTACTATTTTCAAGCCTTGATGGACAGACTGACAGACTGACCAATGGCTCTCCTATCTAATGGGTTATCAGGTTAGAATAAGACCAGGTTTGAGAATTCTATTTCAACATTGAAAACTGAAAGAGATGTGCTCAAGGTGACACTAATTTGTCTTTCCCTCCTTCCTCCTCCCTCTCTCCCCCCTCTTCTCTCCCTCCCCTCTCCCTCCCTCCATCTGAGTTTATGTTTCATCAAACTTTCCCATGAAATTAGGCAGCACTGTTTCCAAGGATGAGATCCAGAGACTTGAGTAGATACTGGGTTTTCTAAAGATGATGGGGAAACTCTACTACTTAAAATTATGTGTGTGTGTGCACATGCATGCACATCTGCGTGTGTGTGTGTGTGTGTATGCGTGTGTATGCGCATGCGCACATGGGCACGCATGCAACACACTGTATGCATATGAAGTCTGGTCAATGAAAGCTGGTTCTTTGCTTTTATCATGAGGAGCTTTGGGAATGAGCTTTGGATTGTCAGGTTTGACAATAATCACCTTTACCTGATAATGCTGTTTTAGAAGCCCATATAAGCATGCAGACATATATACATGTATGTGTGTGCATATGTATTTGCTGTGACGTCTGGATGTAGATAAATCTGTTGAAGAGTCATACCTGACTTTCTCGATTACGTAATCCTCCATTTGTATTTATGGTAAAGTCAAATTTCATTTCTTTTTCCTGAGAAAGAGAGTGGAAATAGGGATGAGGGACTGGTGTTGGAATTTAGAGGAAACACTTGAGCATAGGTGATTGCCTACAACTGTGAATGACACAAAAGCACCTGTACCTGGCTGGAATTAAACTTCGAAGTGCTGTAGTCCTTCTTCATCAAAATATGTAAAACAGCATCATGGATTGTTAAGAAAAATATTGAGTCTGTGACTTCATCATCAAAAAATTCACACCGAGCAAGTTTGTCAATGAACTCATCTGAAGAAAGAGAAGACGCTGTATTACTTAGAAAAAGAGACTTGTTTTCTCATGAAACTGCTCAGTTGAAAGTCCATTTGCAAGTGCACGAATTGTTGACTGGGATGTGGCGGTGTAGCCTGTGTGTCTTTTGTTTTTAATGCCCTTGTGTGGAAAGGGTCTAGAAACCTCAAGTGGCTCCAGAGGAAATGACTGCACTGCAGTGTAGGCAGGGCCTTATGAATTAGTTTCCTTCCTCGGTGATGGTGGCACGTGTGCTCATTATTGAAAAGTGCATTCTTCGTCATTAGAGAGCATGGGTAGAGCCCTGGGTGTGGTGTGCTGGGCTTTGACTGTCAGATCAATAATCTGCCAGTGACTTAACTGTAGTCCATTTTCTCAGGTTGCTGGGTTTTAGAAAACATCTTCCTTAGCTTCTCATATTACTTTCCCCATTTTCTTTGAGAAATCCCCCACTGGTAGGCAGTAGCCAACATTTGTTTGCACAGATCACTCAAGCAAATATGACCTTATATCTATTATGTGCAAAGCTCTAGCTAAGCAGTAGAAAGGTAAATTAGACTTGAATCTCATCCATGAAGAACATTTATACATAACACTGGCAGGAAAAGTACTACAGTGGGCATGGAACAGTCTGCTCCCCCCTTTTATTTTCTTAGTTTTAAATACAACAACCAGCACACAGCAGATCCTCACATTATTTTGGTAAATTAATGAAAGCACAGGGTATGTACTCAGAAGTTTCTGACAGCAGATGAAGGCTGTTTCCCCTGGTGAGCATCATGGAAAACTGTACAACACCACAGCATGTTACAGTGCTTAGGGTTTAGAGAAAGGGATGTCTGTTGGGATGGAAGGTCATAGGAAGTTTTCAACAGACAGGGGTCCAGAGAGCAGGAGGCACGGGAAGGAAGGCGATGGCAGACTGGAGCGCCAGGCAGTAGAGGCAGGTGAGAGGGAAATGAAGCTCTCCAGGAAATCAGCAGCTTACTGGGGTCAGTGGGGCATTTTTGTTTATAGTCAACCCTTGAAACGAGAATATGTCTGCAGTTTACAGAGGTCTGACACGTAGTAGGTAGTCAGTGAGTCTTCATCGGATTAAATGCTGTTTCCTAAGAACTAGTCAAGATGCAGGGGCTACAAAGATAAGACCAGTACTGCCTGTAGAGGAGACAAGTAGAGACCCTGACAGAACTGTGGAGCAACTCGGTGTTTCTGAACCATGCAGCTGCAGGCTGAAGCCCCAGTGCCCTGCCTGGCAAAGTATTTGGTTACTGCTGGAAAAAAAAATAGTGAAAGAATTTTTGAGTCAGATTATCAGATGAGAGGATTCTAGGGTCTTTCAGATCGCTGAGGTAAGAGTGAATAAGTGTTTGGACCTGGTGGCTCATGGACTGTCAGGAGAAGGGAAGGGGAGGAATTAAAGATGACTGGGGGCCTACACAGGGAGACGGTGCAGTTGACGCTACTATGATCAAGACTGAAAAGGGCAGGGAGAGAGAGGTCAGACATCCTGAACGTGTATCAGGTGGCTGGCGGATCCAGCAAGTCTATACATGGTGTCAGCTATGATTTGGGCTGGAGATAGTTTGGGGACTCGTTAACACATGGATACACTTGACACGAGTGCGGAGGAGATTACTAGAAGAATCTATGGAATCACAGTGATAGATTTTAAGACTGAAGTGTGGGGAAAGGCTAATGCTAGGCCAGGGGGAGTCCTGAAGGAGAAACTGTGTTCCTGTGAGAAGGAGGGAGACATCAAAAGAATGGGCTCAGAAGCCAAGTAGGGAGAGTTTTAATTCACATACTCAAGTAGGCTTCAGAATAGGTCTTTGATCTTGATAAATTGGATGTCACCCTTGGATACCTTTGGTAAGAATGGCCTTATCAGCAAAGGGAAGCCAAAGCCAGCCAGGTTGCTATGGCCAAAGAATGCAAGGGAGAGAGGAGACAGCAATGTTTCCAGCAAGTTCTGAGTGAAAAGTAGTTCACACATCTCCCTCATTTGCTATACCTACAAAATTAGGACCTAAATTGTAAAATTCATTTAGCCATTCATTAACAGCAAAACATAAACCTATGGTTTCCATGGGGAATTTTTATTGGCTCAACTGGAAATTCAGTTGCCTTCTTTGTGATCACATGGCATACCTGTTCTTTAGATGGCTTGTCTAGACTGGCTGTGAGTCTGAGGTGACACTTTGAACATTAAATACGGTTAAAAGAGCCTGGGCTTGGGCTATCATATGATACCCTGGTTCCAAATCGAGCACTCAGGCACAATGGCACATGCCTGTAATGCCAGCACCTGGGAGGCTGAGGCCAACCTGAACTACATAGCAGGATACTGTCTTAATAAATCAATGAAAAATAAATGAACTTACCATCAGTTCCCACAATATACACATCTACCTTGATCCTAATAAATTCTTGCAAAATCTGTTAAAACAGAAGATATATCTGTTTTAGGGAAGAGTTTTCATTTGTCACAAACACATTATTATAGTACCTTATGAGTAATTATTTTCAGAACCATTTATATTTTGGAAGTAGACAATAAGGACTCACTCAAGCTAAAAACAAGGCTGCATGATAAACAAAACCCTGAAGTTTGGGAAAAGCCTTCCTCAGTAAGAAATGAAACATTCTTGAGAAACAGATAAGAAAATGTTCTGTCTCAAACTCATAAGATCACCTCTGACCACAGTATGTTCTGTGGAAATGACTAGAACTTTACGATTTTCTTTTTATTTCTCCTTTCACTTTTCAAGATGGGGTTTCTCTATGTAGCTCTGACTGTCCTGGAACTCATTCTACAGACCAGGCTGTCCTCAGACTCACAGAGATCCTCCTTCCTCTGTCTCCTGAGTGCTGGGACCAAAGGCCTGCCTCACTGGACCAACTAGAAATTTCTATCCATAGAAAACAAACACATAAACTAGCCCATTTGTTGTTCCCATGTATAGCAACTGGATGTGCCAAGTGCTAGCACTCAGGGTCTTGGTTTCCAGGCAAGGAACAAATGCCGGTGGTGATGGAGCTTTCGTTCTTGATCAGGTGAGGACAGAAATACCACAGCCGTCACCGAAAAACACCTCTAGAACTTCTGTCTGAGCACTGGGAGTTTAAAACAAACAAACAAGCAGGCAAGCAAACAGACAAACAAAAACTAGCCAGAATCTTTGCTCTTGTGTTGTACTGCTGGTATTAAAAAAATGTGAAGCTGGGTACACACGTTTAATCCTAGCACTCTGGAAGCAGAGGCAGATGCATCTCTGTGAGTTTGATGCCAGTCTGGTCTACAGAGTGAGTCCAGGACAGCCAGAGCTATTTAGAGAAACACATCTGTGATCCCAGCACTCAGGAAGCAGAGATAAAAGGATCATGAGTTCAAGGCTAGACTAGGCTATACAAGTTGAGGACACCCTATGTTTCATGAGCTCCTGTAACTCCCACCCCAGAAAAAAAACAAAAAACAAAAAACAACGAAAAACCCAAACAAAACTAAATGACAAAAACAACAAAAGGAACAATTAAGTTAAAAAACTAGATTGGTATTGCTTTTTAATTTTGTGGTCAGTTCACCCATCCTCAATGGAACTCAGCTTAGGTTACTTAGATAGGTACCTGTGAAAACCTAAGAGAAGCAGAAATTAATGCAGAATTTATCTATTCCCTGTGTGTTTTTTCAGGTCTGTTGGAAATTAGTTGTAGAAATGCTGAGAACAAAACAAAAAGGAAGCAGGCCACACTACTTGTTTATTCTTTCATATGGCTACTTTGTATAATTCAATGTAACACACACTTTTAAATTGCCAAAATTTCATCAGTTGGGAAAAGAGGATCAAAACAAATATACCCACTGTCTGCCCATCCCAGAGGTTTCTGGGTCTCCTTTGTTTTCAGGATGATGTAAATACAATGCCTATAAGGGTCTGAGAACACCCATGGTGGTGCCTGCCTGGGTTTGAAAAAGATGTGAGTGCAGTTGCCTACCTGAAACTTCCGCAAACATTTTAAGTATGGGTTTGGCCACCTTCAACATTAGTGTGGTTCCTTCCAACACTCCCCACCACTGCTTAACTGAGGCTAAAATTTTAACGAAGTGTGTATACCAAGCCTGGGGAGGTAGCTTAGTAGGTAAAGTGCTTGCCAGGCATGAAGACCTGAGTTGGATCCCCAGAACCCAGGCTGGGTGGTGTGGCATGTGTCTCTAGCTCCAGCCCTGGGCAGATGAATATGTGTCTGGGGATGTGTGTGACACAGAGATAGGTGTCTCATCGTCCTAATCAATGAGCTCTAGTTCAGTGAGAAACCAGGTCTCACAACAAACAAACAAACAAACAAACAAGGAAAGCATCTGAGGAAGACACTCAGTGTTGATATCTGGTCAGTGTGTGTGTGCCTGTGTGTATGCGTGCATGCGTGTGTCTGTGTGTGCGTGTGTCTGTGTCTGTATGTGAGGTATGTGGTGTCTGGTGTGTGCATGTTCATGCTTGAATGTGTGTGGTCTGTGTGTGTGCATGCCTGCATGTTTGCACATCCTTGTGATTGTGTGTGTGCACACGCGCGTGCGCGTGACTATGGTGTGTGCATAAATGTATGTGTGTGCACAAATGTACGGTGTGCATTTGTGTGATGTGTGTGTTACCTAATGTTTTTTCTTTTGTACATACAACCTTTGCCATTAGTAAATGCTTTCAAGAAAACACAACGAAAAACAAAAACAAAAAAACAAAAAAAAAAGAGCTGGGGTTGGTGGCGCACGCCTTTAATCCCAGCACTTGGGAGGCAGAGGCAGGTGGATCCCTGTGCGTTCGAGGCCAGCCTGGTCTACAAGAGCTAGTTCCAGGACAGCCTCCAAAGCCACAGAGAAACCCTGTCTCGAAAAAAAAAGAAAAAGAAAAAGAAAAAAGAAAAGAAAACACAAATTACCGTCTTGAGACCCCTCATTGAGGAGACATCGAGGAAGGACACGGCTGAGAAGTCAAGGACGAGGCTGTGGAGGCTGACTTTCGGGACGGTGATGTTTACAGGGAGATCGGCGTTCCAGTCTAGCTCGAAGGGCAGGTCTGTGGTGTTGATGGGCTGGTCCAGCTCTGCTATCTGGTTGTTGTCCAGCTCCTCATCGGAGTCTTTAAAGCCGTCCGAGGTGCATATGAACCCTTTCTGCGGAGACAGGCGGTAATGACGCAATGATTCTGACTGAAAATGTGTGTATGTCATGGGTGAGCAGGATGCCTGCAGCTTAGATTCAAGCTGGGTCAGCAACAGGAGTCGTAGATGCTTCGTACCTTTTGCTTTCGATATATTCTTCCCAGGGCAAAAAAAAATTTTTTTCATTAAGGCTGACAAGATGGCTCAGAGGTAAGTGAGCTTGTCACAAGGTCTGAAGACCTGAATTTAATCCCTGAGGCTTACGTGGTGGAGGAAGGAGGGAAAGGGACTCCAAAGGTTGCACTTTGACTCCACGCATATGTATACACACAAATAAATAAATGTAATAAATATGACGCTAACAGATGGAATGTGTTTATCTAGCATTTCATTTAAAGTAATTTGAATTATGCTTTACTAAAAGCTTTTATCCAAAACACATGGAAATGTGGTCAGAAAACTTACAGGTGTCACTTGTATCAGGCCTCGCTTCTGCAGTTTTCGGAGTTTCTTCAAAGCTTTATTGCGCTTGCGTAGAATTCGAAGTGGACTAAAACCAACCTGGAAAGGAAGTCACAGTGTTCAGGGGAGCTGAGCATCCGCTACATACAGAACATGATGATGATGACTAGTTGAGAGGTGCTAAGGGTTCAGGACACAGGAATAACTGAGACAAAATGTTTTAAAATAAAATTGAGATAAAAGATTTAAAAATAATACCAGCAACAATACTGAATCAGGGCTATAGTTTGCTTAGTCTGCATGCAATTATCAAACTTCAAAAACATTCATACAGTCCAGAGTTTGCCCACAAAAGAGCCATAAATGGTTTTAAATTTTATTTGAATCTGTTTGTGTGTGGGCCAACCAAACCCCTAGGGAACTTGATTTTCCTAATCTTAAATTAATCATTATAATTTGGCACAAAGAAGGTCAAAAGCTATGTTTTAAGAATAAATAAAAAGTATTTGTTTTTGTTTTTGTTTTTTGTTTTTTGTCTTTTGAGACAGGATCTCACTGTGCTGGAACTCACTCTGTTCACTAGGTTGACCTCAAATTCACTTTGTCTCCAGAGTGCTGGGATTAAGGAAAAGTTTTTGTCTCTTAACCTTAAAAGACTCATCTTTGGCTTCTTTACCAGAACTAAATACTGATTGTCAATTATATATTGAATCTCCTTCGAGGTGCAGTCAAACATTAAGGGTTTCACTGTTGTTTCTGGGTTGCTACCCCAAGACAGTATATTAAAAACCAGCTACCCAGTACCATGAGGGAGTGTTTTTACTTCACAGCAACTCTAAAAGCATGGGTTCTACCTTGAGTCTCATAGGAAGAGGCTCATTTTCCAACATATTAATGGATCCCTTTAAGATAGTTTGACCTGTGTGTGTGTGTGTGTGTGTGTGTGTGTGTGTGTGTGTGTGTGCGCTCGCGCGCGTGTGTTTAGGAAGGTGGAAGGGAAGGGGCAATGGTTCCTCTATGACTGACAGCAGGCAGTGACAGCTTAGCACAGGGCCTTCAATCCAGGATCACAATTGAACAGCTGCTAGGTTCTCCTTTCATTTTTATACATTGCCATTTTGTTAAAAAAAAAAAAAAAAGGCCTATCCTGGGGCATGCAGACTAAACAGTGGCACAGTTTAGCTTCAACATACAAGAAGGCAATGACCTTCCCATTAAAGAGGAAACATTTCACTCCCAGATAGTCAGAATTTTTTTTGAATCTTACAGCATCAATAAGTTTCTGCTTAAAGAAACCAATGTTTGCAAAGTAGATTGGAGATGGACATCTGAAAATTTTCACTCCTTCTGGCTCATACATCTATAAGACAGAGAAGTACCACAGTTAGGTGAGTCCCACTGCCTTCATTTGACAATATTTTAGCATGTCAAAGACAACAATGGGTCTTTCTTACGTCAGCATAATCTTTTTTATTCTTGTAGATGTTGCTCCTTCCAACATTAGCCAGTGTGCTGCATTTTGGACTGTAAGGAAAAAGGAAAAAAAAAACACCACCCAGAAAGTCATTCTTTCATATGTTAAGTCCAGCATTGATGTTTTTCTAGCTTATTAATACAGGGTAACTTTTCAGAGTTGAAAGACAGGGGAATCCTCATCTCATTAGGGACCCTGGAGTGAAGACACCTTATGTTTGTGTCTTCTAAGTGGTGACTCTCCTTACTACATCACAGTCTACAAGCAACCCAGCAAGACCGTGGCAGTTTAATGCTAAATACAGCTGTGATCGGGTGAGGTAGGGTCCTATGTACTCAATTGTACAAATAAGGATGACTTGTACAAAAAAAAATGACTTGCCCATGTGACCGTTCAGTTTGTGTCTGTATTTGATGGAGCTCAGATATGGAATCCAATAAGGATACAAAGTATGTGAGGAGAAAATAACAGAATGAGCTTTCCTGCTGGTGTGTTCCACTGTTCAAGGAATGACTATAGTAGCAACTTCCGTTTCAGAACCCTCAGTTCCCATTTCTCTTGCAGTTACACTATGGATTCCAGCTAGGCTGAGTGACCACATGGTGGTGATATTACCTGGCATAGACTTAAAAATGACAAAGGCCAGGCTGGAGGAACCCACAAAAACAGCTGATCTGAACAAGGGGGAGCTCATGGACCCCAGACTGATGGCTGGAAACCAGTACAGGACCAACCCAGACCCCCTGAACGTGGGCAGGGGAGGAGGGGAGGGAGAGGAAACTGGGATTGACATGTAAAACAAGCTTGTTTCTAATTTCAATAAGAAATAATAAAAAAATAGAAAATTTAACAATACAAAAAAATCACAAAGACACTTGAACTGAATGGCTTTAAGAGTCAAGAATTGCAAACGTTTGTTGAATTTTGGGGCTGGGGTCTTTGAGGAGTTCACAGATCCAGCACACTCAGTTGACAAAGAAGAGGGAGCCCCTCCCCCAGCTGCATTGGGACTCAGTCTTCTAGGTCCTTCATTTTCCTACTTAACCAGTATAGGGCAACAGAGTCCCATCCTGTACACAGATGAACAGCACAGAGTATGTTTGCTAGTTCTTTAACCTGTATCAAAGCAGGCAGCAGGCCAGCAGCACGTGTCCTCCTTAGACAGGAATCCAGTTCGCGATGATTCTATTGTCCTGCAGGCCTTCAGGTGGAGTGGCTTGAGGGATGCTAGATTTACTTGTTTTTATGTATGTGTATGAATGTCTTACTTGCATGAATGTATGTGTACTACACGCATGACTGCTGTTTGAGGAGGTTAGAAGACGTTATTGGTTTCTCTGGAACTAGAGATGTTGTGGGTGCTGAGAATCTAACCCAGGTCCACTGCAAGAGCAACAAGTGCTATTAACCACTGAGCCCTCCCTCTACTCATGGCCAGTCTTGACAGGCATGCATGTCTAGCAAACATGCCACTTTTCTCTTAGCCACTGACAACTGTTCTTGCTCTTCTAACAGGTCAAGGCCTTGGGGCTGTGCAGAGCTCAGGGAACACTTACAATTGGGTCCTGAACACAATAGTTAGGAGCTGAAATGCCACACTTGCTGCCAGGCCTAATCCAAGTCCCAGGACGATGGCAAAGATGAAGGTCATGATCCAAATTAGCTGTAAGAAGAGAAGACAACACACACGTTGGGGTGTACAGAAGTACAGTGTTGGGGTCCCGAGCTAGAGAAAGCAGGCTGGGCCAAAGGCAGCGGTTGAACGTTCTTATCTCGGTCCAGGGATCAGAGAGCCTAGGAAGGCATATCGCAAGAGGTCGTTTCATTTCTGCTGGCTCAGAGCCGGGCCACAGAAACTCAAGCCCTATAGACACTGTGCTTATTTCTAGTCCATCCCAGAACAGGCTGAAGAAAGGGGATTGACTTGCCATAACAAAACTTCTAGAGCAGCTTACAACTCAGCAAATTAGGACGGGAAGACAGCAATGGTAGAACACCAGCCTAGCCTATGTGAGGCCCTTGATTTGATCCCCAGCACTACAAGAGAAACAAACAACAAACCTCAGCAAATTGATTGGGACAGCCTGCACTGATCTTAGGCTTGCCCTATTGATTTAATTGGTGGGTATTAATCTTTACAAAAACTTGAGCAGACTAAAAGTGGGTTAAAGTTGCATGTGATGACCCATCAGGAACATGAGCTACTTGGATGCAGCTTATTGCTTTATGCTCTTGGAGTACCATAGGGTATGTCAACAAGAATTTTTATACTCAGACTTTGACCCTGATTAAATTATAAAGTCTGCTTTTCAAGCAAGTTGAAAGCAAGTAGGAACTTTCCCCCAAAGAATGGGTGTTTCCAGAAGGAATGTTCAGAATTTACACCCTCCTCTGGTTCTCTGGACACTAACACATCATTTAGCAAAGAGCAGAAACGACATGTACCCTAAAACTCAGGGCACTTCTGCGGTGTTCATCATAACCTGTAAGAGCTTTAATCATGTATCGAAGGAAAGCCCTACACTCGTGTTTTAGGAAGCACTTTATACTTTCAAGAATCCATACATTTATTTATTTTCAGGTTTTCTGAGTGGGTGCATATGCTCATGTGTGTACATGTTTTTGTGTGCCTGCTTGTCTGTTTGCCCAAGGACACCAGAAGAGCCAAATCCCCTAAAACCGAGTTACAGGTGGTTGTGAGTCACCCAACATGGGTGCTGGGAACTGAACTCAGAACTCAGTGTTCTTAACCACCAAGTCATATCTCCAGCCTTGTTTATTAGTTTTGAAATAGGAGCTCATTAAGAAGCTCAGGCTGGCTTCAAACTCTTCCTGCCTCAGTCTCCAGAGTACTGAGATGAAAGGAATCATCTTGGCATTATAATACCACCATCATTTTAAGTTAAAACTCCCAGATAATGAATGGCAGAGCATGCAATTTCAAGATAGGAAATGAACTATGGTTATTGCAACAGATAGCAGAAGCAGAATGTCACAGCATTTACAACATATGCGTCTTAAATCAGCATTAAGCTACCATTCTGATTTTTCATTTTCTCAAATACCGTTGTATCTACTTACACAATCATATTTGTCCTTTTTCCACAATCTGCCTATTTCAGCAAACTGCATCAGCATTCCCTTCAAGTTTCCAAGAGCCAAAGCAGCCAGGACAGACTGTGAGAGGCACAAACAACAGAAGCTTTCTTGAGTTAATACCATAAACCATGTAGAAGCAAAGGTGAAGGCCACAGACAAGTGTCTTAGTCGGCCTCAGAGTATATCAAAAGACACACCCCTTTCTGGTGCTCGGTGCTCGATGGACCAGGGTTGGGACTCTGACTTGTTTCCCTACGTGAGATTGTCCCCATCCCAGTGACAAGAGTTGAACAGATCTTTGTGACTGTGCCATAAATGAGCTGATGGTGCTTACAGTAGATATCCTGTGATAGAGAGACAGATCCTACATGTGAACCCTTGAATAAGTTGTTTTCAAGCAAAGCCTGTTGAACCTGTCCATTTAAACAAAGACATAGGGGTTGCCTTTGGGGATAACAACTATCAAACTGTTTTATAAAAGGAAGCTAATGATCAAAGAATGCTTAACAAATTCCCGAGGCAGGCTCCAAGACCAGCCAGACCACAGCTGCCCTATTTCCAGAGCATGCTACGGTGAATGTGTATAGGAGGGGCTTAGCAATTAGTCACTGAATGAGTGGATGGACCAATGCATTTATAATTCCCAATCTAGGAGTGACAGTCCACAGCATGGCCTCCTAAAAAGTCCCGACACTGACACAGTTGAGGGTCTTGAGTTGTTAACTCAGCCTGCCACATAGCACTCATCATTTCTGGTATTTGACATACCATAATTAGTTTTCTCGGGAGCTGTTCCAGTTAATTAAAAAAAAATGCTAAATAGTGACGTATGCCCGGGCTCACTTAGGTCACAGCACAACAGCAGGCAGGACCCTTCCCTATCTACTCTTCAGTTGGCTCCATTCTGAGTGCACAGCAACCAAAGGAAACCAAACAGGGCTTTCACTGTCCTGTCTTGAGGATGGTTTACCAGGATCAGGTATTTTAATCTTCACAAATATTCTTATTTTAATATCTACTTGGTTCATTTGATTCACTGTGAGAGTAGAGATCACCATTTAGAAGAAATAAGTCTTAAGTAACATTAAAAAGTGGGGGGTGGAGAGATGTCTCAGTGGTTAAGAGCACTGGCTGCTCTTCCAGAGGACCTGGGTTCGATTCCCAACACCTACAGAATGGCTCACCACCATCTGTAATTCCAGTTCCAGGGCAATCCGATGCCCTCTTCTGACCTCCAGAGACATTGCATGCGTGTGGTAAAGAGCTATTCAGACAGACAAAACTACCCATGCTCATAAAATGAAGATAAAAATTAAAAAATAAAGTATGTACAAATGAACACCATTTTAAAAAAAAAGACTAAAACTGGTGATGTACTTAACAGTGTTTTTCTAGTGTCAATGTCCTGGTTTTGTTACTGTAATACAGATGTGAGTTGTCATTTCCGTGGTGGCTGGTGAATGATACACTTTACTATTCAGTAGGCTTCCTTGTTTTTTAAGAGCTCAGAAATATTCAAATGTCTGCCCAGAGACACGGTACTTTCCATTAGGCATTTTCCCCAGCATTGTTCCATAGAAAAACAATTTGAGATAATTTATATATGCAGCAGAATACTCAAAGCACAGAGAAACGTGGGAGAGTGATTTTAGAGTCTGTGGATATGTGGGAAGCTTTGGCACATATTCAGCAGAGGTCTTGCTACTGGCTGCTCTGACCTTGTAGGACAGAAGCAGTCATGACTTAGCAACACGGAGGTGCTACAGATGCATTTGTACAGGGTTTACCCCTGGGTTCTCTATCGCAGTTGCTTTCATTCTAGACAAGGTCCTTGAGCACAAGTTATTCAAAAGACAGAGACAATTTTAAGTAGTGAGTGTTTCTTCAGAATCTCCACAGTGATGTGGGCAGGTAGAACCCGCATATACATATGGAAGAAGCCCATGGGTCCTCTTTTCTATATAGAGGAGAACATGTGGATTTGTCTTTATTGAGATATGCATTTTTAAAAAAATTTCTTTACTGGTGATGTCTTGACTTCTATCATGACATTTGTTTTGAAGCTAAGGATTTTGGTGTGTGGAAGACATGGTTTTGGCAAATAGTGCTCTGTACTGTTTGGAGACAGATTCAGCCAATATAGTTCTTAGGAATAGAGGTGAATACACATTTCAGCTCTCACCCAACACGGAAGAAGGACCCAGATAGCAAACAATAGACACCTCTATTTCCTTTGCAGTCAGAGTGTAATGGAATGCTTGGATAATAATAGTAATGACTTTTATTGACGGTCTTAGTGACCCGGGTTAAGTATTCCATGTGTGTTACATGATTTATTGCCACAGCTACTTTGTGTAGCAGGTGCTATTCCATCCCCATTTTACATGTGGAGGGCTTGGGGTGCAGACAGGTTAAGTCATTGACCTCAAGCCACAGTTAGTAAGTGACAGAGCTAAGATTGGAAGATGGTTCTGATCCACTTATGCACTCCTTTGAGGTCCTATTAATACCTCCAGAGAGCAATGAGCTTGTATTTACCACCATCTGCTTTCACCGAGGCTCTGTGGTTTCCAGGACACTGGGTCTACTTACAAGTATTAAATGAAACAAAAGCAGTTACAAACAAACCTTGAGGGTAAGAGGTGAGTTCTATGTCTGGCTGTTTACTCCCATCCTACAAGCTGACGGTGTTGGTTTTGGAGTCAAACCAAACTCCTTCAAGCTGCAGGGCACGTTCCCAGGAACAGGTGTGGAGCTGGTAGCACCACTCTCTACCTTAGATAGAGGGCCTGATGATCTAACCCTGTTAGAAAACCTTCACTTGTCAGTCTAGGTTGAAACTGCAATGCCAGAGTGCCTCCCTGCTTAAACATTAATTACTCTCTGCTCTCTGCACCAGCAGACAGTAGAGTAGATAACGCGATTTGGGCATCTGCATTCCTGACATTCTAAAAGGCTGCCAGGAGAAAGGAAATCTTGGTCCATTCAGTGTTGACTAAGGAGAATATCTGAGAGTTTGTCATGAACTCATTTCCCCTAGCATAGTTTGTGTTTTCAGAATTTGGGAGTTAGATTTAACAACCCAAGGAGAGAGATGTTGTCCCCCAGAGAGAGGAGAATTACCTTCTGTAGTGGCTGCAGAAGAAATCCGATGGCAACAATGACAATGAGCACGATGACAGCTGAGAGGAGCCCTGCAATCTGTGAGGATGAAATAGATCTCATGGCAGCTGCTGCTCCCTCGCCACAGGCGAGGTCTCCCCGGCACAGCGGCCACAGGCGAGGTCTCCCCGGCACAGCGGCCACAGGGCTTGGGTCTCCCTGGCACAGCGGCCACAGGCGAGGTCTCCCCGGCACAGAGGCCACAGGGCTTGGGTCTCCCTGGCACAGCGGCCACAGGGCTTGGGTCTCCCCGGCACCAACGCTCTGCTGGCTCTGTGTCCAGGATGCTAGAGTACCTGTGTCTTGCCTCCTGTGCTCTCCTGAACCCCTGATCTGGAAAGGGCTGTGCTCCCTGCAAATCCTTTGAATGCTCCAGTGAATATGTTGCTCACTCCCAAGGCGATCAACTCCTGCGGAAGGCAAGGCAAGAAGCTTTTCCTAAAACGGTCTTTCTCAGAAGAATATTAGGTGTGTGAAATACTGTGTATCTAATTAGACCCCGCTAGGCTTACCTGATTGCCATCTATCGGATAATCATATTTGAGGGAATAGACACTAGCAACTGAAAAGGCCACTGCAAAGCCGACAATCGCAATTCCAAAGCTGTCTCCTATGGTGTCTTGAAAAACTTGCACACTGGGTGTAATAGGGGGCTGAAATCTGAAATTGAAAACAAGCAAAGCTACATGTCACCAACTTGTTCAGAAACCCAAACGATTATTGAGCAAAAAAAAAAAAAAAAGAAAGAAAAATGAATGAAGCAATCTGCACTGAGTTGTGTCTTTCTTTGAAGTGTGACCTAAAGGACTTTGTTCCTTTGAAAAGTTTGGAATTCCCTGTTTACTGTTGTGATGCTTGGATTGATGAAAGGTATCAATGCAGCCTGACTATGATGGTGAGAAGGACATTATCTGGCCAGTGCACTCAGAGTATGGTGTGGACCCACTTTCCCCTTCAGGCAAATATCTTAGATGCCACCTGTTGTCACGATGGGTTTCAGCATTGATCTCAGTGCCCTCAATACTTATCCATGGCTGAAGCCTCTTTGAACAAATATGATTTTGGGACAAGGAAAGTAAAAATCTTCTTCCTGTTAGTGACAGCAGCTTTTCATTGACAGCTGTGAGAGGTGGGCCTTACCCTGTGCTCTGGGGAGCGGCCAGGCTGCTCCACACCCACACAGAAGCAGCTTTAGGTCTAAGTTGGTAAGTGCTCAGAGATCAGTGTGCCTTGCAAGGGTTCTTCTGTGTTTATGCTCATAATCTCAAGCAGCTAAGTATGTTTGCCAGTTGTATTATAAAAGCTGCGTGTCTCAAACAACATCAAGGCACTAAAATGCTCAGCTCCTTCAGCATCTGCTTCAGACCTGAGGCTTTTTGGAGGTGCATAACTGGATCCAGTCAAATGAGTCTGAATTATTGTTTCATCTTTCATATCTCTGATAGTACACACTGGGCTGTAGTCTTGATAAAGCATTATTATTCCATGGAAGTTAGAAAGGTGGATTGGGATTTAGGTTTTTAAAATGAACCTGAAAGCAGAGGTACAATTCAATATTGCATTTTGTATCAAGATAAATAGGAACCTCTCCTTATTATAATTTTGCTTTTGCTTTGACTTCTGAGCATTACAGTGTGGTATGATGGAGTTTATCAGCCAAAGACTCCATTCCTTAGCTCTACTTTTCCTGAGCCTGGTTCATCATTTGTCAAATGGAACAATAATACTGTACTCTTCTCTTCATGGTTATGTGGGAAGGCCAACTAAATAGTGATTGTGAGCACTGCACGCCATGAGATACAACTTGCCTGCTGACCATGCCTGTAAGACACCTCTGGAAGCCAACACAGCCTCCGCATCGTTCCTTCACTGCTCACGCCACTCCCCTTGGGTCGTGCTAATTGCACACATTTAGCGTGGGTGTGTGACTCCCCAAAAATAAATCCCTAAAGCAGCATGTGCATTAGTAGCAAACTAGCAAGAACTAATAATCACTACCTTCAGTAATTGTGGCAGAATATTATTACCAGGTGTGTGACTTTTGTTTATGCTGCCCTTGTCTAACTCTGTGAAGCTGTGCTACCGCGCCTGTCTAACTCTGTGAAGCTGTGTTACCGTGCCTGTCTACAACTCCTGGTGGTTCTAATGAAGACCTGAATGGCCAATAGCAAGGCAGGATCACGACAGGCGGGCTGGCAGGCAGAGAGTGCAGAGAGAAGGAGAAATGAGGCAGACGGGAGCTAGGAGAGAATGAGGAAAGGAGGACATGGGGGGAGGGGAGGCAGCCACCCAGACAGCACAGAGTAAGAAGGAAAGAAAGAGACACACACAGAAGAAAGATGAAAACCCAGAGACAGAAGGTAGATGGTATCGCTTAAGTAAAGCTGACCAGAAGTCAAGCATTCATAACTAAGCCTCTGTGTGTGTGATTTATTGGGGGCTGGGTGGGAGGCCCCCAAAAGAGAAAAAAAAACATCATACTACACGTAATAGTCTATTTGCAGTCAACAGAGATTTAAAGTGCTCACTTGGCTTTTTAGAAAAAGATGGAATGTATCAAGACACCTGTTGTGATTTGTGTTTCATTTAGGTGCTAAATCAGCAAGTGGCAATGTTTGAACTTGAAATAGAAGTTGTGCATTTAACATGTCACATGCATAAACCCACTTAATACTGCCAGGATCTCTACCATTTTTTAGTACCCTTCACAACCAAGTGCATGGAGTAGCAGTCTAGTGAATTCGCCCGAGGACGGGAGGTATGTCTGAAGTCAGCCCCTAGACTGCGGCACTAGGCAGATGTACTTGGTCACTCTACCTCTCTGGAGAACGAATGGTTAATAAGCATGTGCTACAATCCCCCCCACACACCTGGGGGGGAAAGTACATGCAATTTAATATATTTACTAAATAAGGGCTATCGCTCAGTGATCTCGCCCGTCAGTTATTCTCAAAACATTCTACTTCTGACTAGCTCCCCTTTGATTTTTGCATTTGTTTATTTTCTGATGGAGTTTATGTCTCTAAGACATTTAAGTGAAGTGCAATCCCTTGAAAAAGTGCAGGCTGGGAAGAAACCCAGAGACAAACTTTCCCAGTCTTGTTTCTCACAATTTCTTAATTAAGTGAGACACATGAAGATATGTCAATAAATACATGTAGCATATCTGTATAAAAATGTCGCTTTAAAAGCCACACATATATCTGCTTTTAAAAGAATTAAGCTAAGCCGGGAGGTGGTGGCTTAATCCAGCAAGCAGATCTATGTGAGTTCAAGGTCAGCCTGGTCTACAGAGTGAGTTCCAGGACAGCCAGAGCTACACAGAGGAAATCCTATCTCAAAAAACAAAAAACAAAGCAGAACAAAAAATTTCAACTGTATTAAGATAGATATAGTGACTATATATAATTTCTATAAATATCAAATACTTGTTAAACCTAGAGAAAGGAAAATCATCTTTTATTTATTTTAACTAGAGAAAGCTTTCCTTGGTAAAGTTGAAGGCAACTAATACTGTCTGTGGTTCGAGGTCAGAGGGAGAAGAAAACATAAACCCAGGCTCCCTCTCAGTCCGCTAAGTGTGTGGCGTACACGCTCAGACCCCTGTATCCCGGCGTCCCACCTGTGTGGCCAAGCCGAAGGGCACAGTGAGCTGCCTGGTGTGCCTTCTGCGTGTCTCTTGGAAGTCTGGAACTTGGCTTGGGTGACCTCAGACAAAGCATTGCATATCGTTTATAGTTGATGTCTCTTTATAAGGAGACGTGGTTCAGTCTTTTGAACTTTTCCTAATTTTCATTTTTGTATTTTATAAAGGTGTGTGTGTACCGTCTGGATGCAGATGTCCATGGAGGTCACAGGAGAATGTCACATACCCTGGAAGTAGAATTATAATAGGCGGTTGCAGGCCGCCATGTGTGGCTGAGAGCTGAACCCAGATTCTCTGGAAGAGCAGTGAGTGATCTTAACTGCTGAACCATTGCTCTAGCCCCAGTTTTCACTGTTTTTGAGTCCTGACAGCTTGGTTTGTGAGTTTTTCTCCTAGGAGACTCTTTCTAAGTGTCATGAACCCTGGCATTCTTTTTGACTGCTTGTCCAGAGAGAGAGGGCGTCAGGACTTCTCAAGGGGATTGTCTGATTCTTAAAATTGCTGTTGCTTTCTTCACTGATTGTGGAAGATGCCAGCATTGATGATACACTTACCCTAGACTCATGTTCCCAACCACAGCCACGCCAAACCTCTGTTCAAAATTACAGCCGTATGATATGCCTGTTGCAATCACAGTCTGCAAAGTTCCAAATTGCCCAAATTAGAATGTGAGGTGCAACTAAGGCTCACTTTGAAAACAGCATCATTGTCCCAAACTCAAACCTGCTTGCTGCCTCGCCTGGCAATCTGAGTCTGATCCTTGAGATCCACTCGGTAGAACCCCTGCAAGTTTGTCTTGCCCTCCTCATATACCCAACCCCAAATGAATAGGTACATGTAACAAAAGGCTAAAAAAACTAATAGCCTTTAGCTTATGCCTAGGTACCCCCCTTTTTTTTGATACAGGTTTTTTTTCTGTGTACTTTTGTAGACCAGGCTGGCCTCAAACTCACAGAGATCCACCTGAGTGCTGAGATTAAAGGCGTGCACCACCACCATGTTGCTTGGCCTAGATACCTTTTAAGAAGCATCAAGGCAATTCTAATTTGCATGGACATCACAGCTCAAGCTTGAAGAGTTTTTTATAGCCTGGCTTTGGAGGGCTAGCTGCTCTTCCTTGGAAAGAATAAACCCAGATAATGGGAAGGAACTGGTAAATTCTGATGAAGAGAAATCCACACTAAATATTAAACCCAGAAATGAGAGCTAGGGCCTGCTTCACAGCAACCTGGGGTCCAGATGGTTTTCTCTACTTAAAACTAGGTTAAGAACAACAGTCAATACCATAATGAGTTCGATGGGGATAGGCACAGGAAGCTTGCTTTTGAAGCGCTGGTTGATTTCTTTAACAATAAATACAACCACTAGAATAATCACAGATGTCACGAGGTCTGCGATGTTAGTCTTCTCAATTTGTGTGAAGACCGACTCCAAGACCTGCCATTAGAAACACAGATTCACCAAAGTCCTGTGTGAATTAGTAATTCAAACACATTTCCCCCAAACAGATTTAAACAGACATTAAGACAAAAGACTGGCACATAGCCACAATTTTTCTGTGTTCAGCTGCTGTCGACCATGAGCCCTCAAACTGCAGGGTCTGCCCTGGAGACACAATGAGGGTGAATTAGCACTGCAGGAAACACTGCTTTGGGGATGTGTCTAAAAAGATCCTTAGCCTGCCGGGCAGTGGTGGCGCATGCCTTTAATCCCAGCACTCGGGAGGCAGAGGCAGGCAGATCTCTGTGAGTTAGAGGCCGGGCTGGACAGACAGCCTCCAAAACAATACAGAGAAACCCTGTCTCGTCAAACCAAAAAAAAAAAAAAAAAAAAAAAAAAAAGATCCTTAGCCAGTATCAAATTTTGCAGGGTATTTTCATGGTTTTACAGTGGATCTACTCTGGCCCTAGGTGTCATTGGTTTTTTGTTTGTTTGTTTTGTTTACAGTACTGCAGGTTGAACCGAATCTAAGGTCTCACCAACACTAGGCAATAGTTTTTTTTTTTTAATTTCATAGAATTTGCTACTATTCTGTCCAAGAAGTCATTTCTAATTTCTGAGTGTTTTTGTTTGGTTTTTAAGTACATCCTTTCACAACACAGAACTTCTCTGGGTCACAGGAAAAAATGCCTGCACTATGCAGAGTCTACTTCTTGAAGGAAGTTGGTTTGTATACCCATAGGCCTAAGACAGCTCAAGCAAACCCAAGCTGGATTTCATGCACAGCCCAGTTCTGGAATACTTGTGTGTGGGAGTGAGGGTGTTCGGAACAGGTGCTGCTTCAGAACCCCAAAGACTGCCCTTCAAGAAGGACTGAAGATACAACCTACTGAGAAACTAGTAGGTGTCACTGTTTTGTACTGCATTGATTCACTGGGCCCCAACAGTGTCATTCATGCTAAATGCCACACAACCAAACCGGCATTGTAAGGGAGCAGGTGATTCCCAAGCAATGGTTCCCCCCCCCACAAAAGGAGTACCCAGTCTGTAATGGCCTACTAGGGTACTAGGGCAGTTGTTTGTGTCTGCTTTAAACCGTGCTGGGATGGGGCTTAGGAAGGAGAGTAGTTGGAAGTGGCCAGCCAAGAACCAATCAGGTTTCTGTTTACTTCTGCTTGATTCTCACCTTATAAAGCTCACTGTTCTGCTATTTTTTCAGTGGGGCTTGAGGCCAAATAAGACCAGTTTTGAGGATAACAGAGAGAGGTGTCAGTGTCCAAAGCTCTGGTTACTATTTCAGAATTAAAAAGTTGTTTAAAAGGGAGAAATTATGTATGCCCCAAAGCTGTCTTCATATATAAAGTTCTTTTCCATACACAGTAACTTAACTTGATACTTAACTGTACTAGATTTCAGACTTGGAACTTCATATACTTCTCTCTCTCTTCCCCTCTCCTCTGTCTGGGGGGGGGCAGGAATTGGCCTTGAACTTACAGAGATCCACCTGCCTTTGTCTCCCAAGTGCTGGATTAAAGACCATCATGGCAGCTACTTTGACGCTGTTTAAATAACAGGAATACTTACTTTGAAAATAGAGAACGGGTCACTGTGTGCTGGAGTTAAAGGCCATCATGGCAGCTACTTTGGCGCTGTTTAAATGACAGGAGTACTTACTTTGAAAATAGAGAACGGGTCACTGTGTGCTGGAGTTAAAGGCCATCATGGCAGCTACTTTGGCGCTGTTTAAATGACGACAGGAGTACTTACTTTGAAAATAGAGAACGGGTCACTGTGTGCAGGGACAGTCAGCTGCAGCATGAATTTCAGTTGAGAAACCAAGACATGAATGGCAGCAGCAGTGGTGAAGCCGCTGATTAGGGACTCAGATAGGTATATCACCACAAAGCCTATCTGCAGAACCCCCAAGAGCAGCTGGAGAGAGAGACAAAAGCCTTTGTTAGTGCAGGTCAGGGTGCACACTAGCAAAACCAAAGGCTCACACCTGGAGCGCTTCAAACCCTGATTCACAGCCCATGGAAACACCTCCTGGCTCATCCGCCATTCAAGATTTTTCTTGGCCTCCTCTTTCATCCCTCATGCTGAACACCTCATGATGTCAGATGGTACGTAAGGCCCGTGCCTCCAGAGCTGTCAGACCCACTAAAGACCTCCTTCCTGTGTCCTCACTTTTAGGTGCCACATCTTTAGAAGATGCACCATAGCGAAGTCTTACCTCCGTCAGTCCTCATGGATTTGTTGTTGAGGCAAGCATGGGTGAGTGCAGCTAGTTACTCAGCGTGCTTAGGGAACATGTGGCCAGGGCTGGCGAGATGGTTCAGAGGGTTAAAGTACTGGCTGCCAAGCCAGATGACCTGAGTTCAATCTCTGAGGCCCTCATAGTGGAAGGAGATAACCAACTCCCAAAAGTTGTCCTATGAACCTGGCCCCACACAAATGCATAAATGTAGAAAACAAATACACCGCTGCACAGTGCATGTTAGAAGTGTGAGGTTCTAGCCAGGGAACAAAGATGCTAACTGTCATTGCGTACAGTGAGTGCTTTAAGTGGACTCTGCTTCCCTCAGACGTTTGACCCGTCTTCTGCACACATCTCCAAAATACAGAACTGGGGGAATACAAAATCCAAATTGGGTTCCACTTTTTCACATTCAGAAATGTGTGAGAAACAAATGACCACAAGACTTGTCGACAGGCTGCACACTTGTGTCCTCATACAATGACTTTTCTTTTAGAAATGGGTTTAAGCGAAGATAGCACCGGAATCTTAAATAATGTCTTGAGAAACCCCTGGTATTTTCACTGTTCATGATGGTGTTGGCCCAGGAGATGGGGAATGAAGGTGCAGTCTCACCATAATCTTTTTCATGGTACTTCCCAGTCTTTTAATGGATAAAAAGCAGAGCAGCAGTTCCCTCCCAACTAAATTATAGAAGTAATAAGGCATTAGAAAGAAAAACTTCCAAGGCTACTAGTGTCATTATATAGTTGTTTGATGATGACACTGGTTCCAACATAGTTTTATTGAATTAAGCATTTCATTCCTTACCATGTATGCCTTCATCTTGACACTTTTATTTCTATCTAGATAGTGTTTATCTGTTTGTGTCTACATCATGTCTACACTTTGGTTGTGGTTAGTGACTCTTCATAAATATTTGGGGAGTCTGGTAGGATCTGGGAGGCGTTGGGGAGGAAATTCCCAGGGAATAAGAACATTATTTTAAAATGTTTTCTATGGTTCACTCAATGGGAGCAAGCAAACAAAAGATGAGGAGGAGTCAGAGGAGGATAAAGATACGGAAAGGTAGGGACCAGATTTGGCAGACAAATTACATTAGAATCGGGCTCACCTGAATGATTCCAGAAAGAACAGTCACTGATGCAGCCACCATTACCCTCTCCTCTATCAATGAATCGTTTTCAGTCGAGCTTGAGGACAATTCTGGAGCACTATTGCCTCCTGAGGCCACTCTTGTAACTACAACTCCCACCATCATACTCAGAACTGGAAAGGGACCTAGTTAACCAAAGGTAAATGACCGTCAGTATGTGCCTCTCTAAACCTGAGATGCCGTCCAACCACTAATTGCCCAATACAAACTACCTCGTATGCCCAGCCTTAGCCTTAATTCTTCCAGGAAACCACTAATCTTCTGAATTATGCATAATTTGGAATTTACATGGTTTCTAATAGAATTTACAAAGAGTGAGTAAAACCAGCGTGAATCTGTCGTAATCGACTTACCCACAGATATGTGTCTTGAAGTGCCCAAGAAAAAGTAGGTTATGACTGGGAAAAACGCCGCATACAACCCGTAGGCTGGAGGGATGTTGACCAGCAGAGCAAATGCTAACCCTGGAGAGACAACAGCGGCCTTTGGTTTTCATTAGGTTCTCCTACATTGGGCGTTTGAAGTAAGTCACCACATTAACCCAAAATGTGTCAAAGATATAGACACAAGAACTAAAACTGACGTTGTCAGAAGAACACGTGAGTATGAACCTTTGAGATCTTGGATGAGGCAACAGTCTCTTAGAAGGGCACAAGCCATCAAAGACTTAAAAGTGATAATGCTTCAGTGGGAACATGGGCAATGAAAGAGTACCTGCCTAACATGTGGGATCCTCTGGGTTTAATCACAGCACTGGAAAACCAAAAGCGTACTCAAGGGACACTACCAGCAAAGTGAGCTTTAATTAGAGGATTTAGTCCAGCAATAGAGCACTTGCCTAACATGCAGGAAGCCTTAGTTTGTCTCCCCAGCACCACAAATTAAGGATGTTTAGGCAACTGGCTGTAGCTCAATGGGAGTATATTTGCCCTGGGCTTAATCTACTTAATCTACTCTTCCCTAATCACATTAAAGACACAGAAAGTGGCCACAACGGGTCATGTTTTAGGTCAGGCATGGTGGTGGCACATGCTTGTAATCTTAGCATTTGGGAGGTGGAGGAGGATTAGGAGTTTGAGGCCAACCTCCCTTCCTCTCTTGAGTTTTAAAACCAGAAAGTGAAATGACAGTACAGAGAATGAAAAACAGCTGTTGTAAATGTATCAGATAAAGATGTAGTGTCAGGAACAGACAAGTAACTCTTACAACTCCACAGCGTCTCACAGTCCATTGTGGCCTCAAATAAGCTATCTAGTTTATAGACCTCCTGGCCCCACCTCCGGGGTGCTGGGAAGGCAGGCATGGGCCTCCTGGACCATATTGTTCTGGCAATGGAACCGAGGGCTTTGGGCATAATGGGCAATCACTGTCCTCACTGAGCCACACCCCCAGCCTGGCACCCCGCACTTTCAAAACAGCCAAGGAGAACGAGGGGTCTAGTTCAGTCATGAGGTCCTTGCTTGGTATGTGTCAGGCCCTGGGTTTGACCTCTCCAGCACCACCCAAACAAACAAGCCAAACAAAAGAGGAAGGATTTGGAAACTTACTTTTCCAAGGCACTCAAAGGGGTAATAAGCACAAGAAAAGAGCAGGTACTTAACAAACATCACTAGCTATTAGAGAAATACAATCAAAGCCACAAGGAGGTGCCACTTCTCACAAAGATGGAAAAGACAGCAAGCAATAGGGTGTGGCGGTACCTGAGGCCACACGCACGGATTGGGAGAATGGAAATGGCACAGCATCTCTCTACAAGTAAGTAAACACTGAGCTACCACGGGACCCAGCACTTTATCCGATGGATAGCGCCAGACAATTTAAACACATTTTTAGACAAAAAGTTGTACACAAATGTACACACAAGTTTTATTCATCATCACCTCTGAAGAGAAATGACTCAAATGTTCAATGGAATGTGGTACAAACATACAGTAGAACATTGTCCTTGTTACGATATGAATAAACTGGATAGCATTATGCTAGCAGAGAAGAATCAGACACATCCAATTCCATCTGCATGAAATATCCAGAATAGGAAAGTCCACAGACACAGAAAGTGTTACGGCCATGAGTGGAGGAGGGAGTGTGATTTGCTGTGTGTGTGAGGGGGTAGGGAGGAGGGAAGGCAGCGGAAGTTTGCTAGAGTTAGTGATGTTAGATGCACAACCCGATGGACATGCTAAAAACCGTTATACATATCCCAAGGGTGCCTGGGCATGTAACATGCCGCAGAATGCAAGCCTGCTGTTTGTGAAGCCTGGCTCTAGCACACGTACACACATAGAGGAACTGTAAGCGTGAATCTTATGACATGCTAATCACATCTTTACAATAAAACGCAAAAGAGGGGAAAAATACCTTGCAGTACAGCCACCAGTCCGGTGCTGATGCCAGAAACGATGTCACTCAAAAGCCATTCCTTTATCTTGTATGCTGGCAACCAAGATGCTATGGGGAACAAAGACAGGGCGATTTTCTTGGCCCTTTGTGAGGAGCAGCTGAAAACATTGAAAGCACAGATCAGTGAATTAATGTCAAACTTTAAGTTTGGCTTCTAAGAGTAGATAAAAAGTGGCAAAGATGACATCATTTCAACAGTGAAACTGGCAGCCTCCTCTAACCGCAGCCCCTTTGCCCCTGCCAAAAGCTTTGGTCACTACCAAGGAAACTTTTAAAGAAGAAAACGCCAGCTTTCTTCTGGCTGAAACAGAATTCATGTGTCATCTGGGTCGAGCTGTGTAGTGTTTCAACTGAGAATTCGCCCGTTTCCATCTGCTGTTAGGAAGCACTGTGCCTGTGCCGCTAGCTGAGATTGTTCCTTTTCACCTCAGGCAGGGAATAAAGAGGCTTGGAAAGCCGGGACTGACAGACTCCCAGACCTATGGACTGGAGCCAGAAAAGAAAGCAGGAAAGCTAGAAAACTGAGGAGAAATTGCTTATTTCTTCCTCATTCCAGTACCGTAAGAACTCTTACCTACAACACCCTTTGAGATGATCCAGGAATGTCTTGTGGTGTCTCTGCGTCTTCTTGAACTCCTCTCCAAAAGTGTTTGTGGAATACACTGGTCTGGCCACTATGTACTGATTCCCTATGGCTTCGATCATTTTGCTTTCCCTGGTGACAGTGGCAAGTAGGAAGACCTTTGAAACTATGTGGTGAACACTTCTTCTTGCCGTTAGCAGGTTAAAATGCCTGAAACCGAACAGAGCTTGCTTTTTAAATAACTCAGAGATAATGTGATGCAATTTACAGATGAGTGAGCTCCGAACTGAATGTTACCACCTTTTGAGATCAAAAGAGGCAGGATTAAGGGACCTAGGTCACATTTTACCATGTGATACCACTTTTTCCTTCAAAGAGCTGACACAGCTCCTTTGGGTAAGTAAGCAAGGATTTCTTATTTTTATTTGTATTTTTATTTTGGAGACAGGGTCTCACTATGTAATCCTGGCTGGCTTGGAAGTTAGTATGGGAACCAGGCTCATCTTGAACTCATATAGATCCACTTGCCTCCCAAATGCTGGGGTTCAAGGTGCACAGCCAAAAGCAATACATTATGTTGGTTTATGTACTAAACAGTTCTTGAGAGTTGATCTCAACCTTTTTTTTCTAGAGGTATTTCCAAAGATCCAGGACTGGGACAGTGAGACAGACCTGAAGCCTATTCATCCCCTTAATTCTGATTTACACACCAGAGCCTTGCTTTTTATAAGACCTCAAAAATGGTTTGAATTTGTGAAAATCAAATATATTTTCCATTTGTATTCCTGTAGTTCCTGGGAGTCAAAGGAAACTATGTACAGACAAAGTATGCCTTTGTTTACACAGCTCATGAATGACAAGGTCCTTTCTCAGGAAAGACTGTGGCTAACTGACTTAACCGTTCTGAACCTTTGTTATATATTGAGACAATGATACCCATGTTTAAAAGATTGAAGATGGAGAATGTTCAAAAGTTTCAAAGCTTCTATTGGTGTATCTGACATGCTTCAGGGGTTCACCACACAGCAGTTATTATTCTAAGAGCTAATGTTCCCTGGGGCTGGGGTTATAGCTCAGTGTGAGACACTTACATACATGTGGCCACAGGCTCAATCCCTCGTACCACAGAATACACAGGTAAGTGAATCAATCAATCAATAATAAAATAACATTTTCTGTGTAAGTCATTGGTTCTGAACCTGTGGGTCTGGACTTCTTTGGCAAAATTCTATCTCCAAAAATAGTTATACTGTGATTCATATCGGTAGCAAAATTACAGTTAGGAAGTAACAGTGAAATAATTTGTGGTGGGGGGTCGTCACAACATGAGGAACTGTATTAAAGGGTCTCAGTATTAGGAAAGTTGAAAAACACTGATATAAGGTTTAAAATTTTGTATTAATGTCTCCATTTTTCTATAATTAAGAAGATGAATTTATAAAACCTTTTAGGTACATTGTCAGTTCAATACTCACAATTATTTGAGGCATTAACTATTGTTATTATCCTCACCCTACAAGTGAGAAAATAGTTATGCACACTCTCACCTACCACAATCTGAGTGTCTTCTCTTCATATAGCTAATGTGTCAAGAATGGGAGCCATGCTTGCAGACCTCCCTAGTTCTTCTGGGACGTGCCATTCGCTGTCCAGCATGAACGCGACTTCCCAATCTTGGTTCTGCATACCTACCCAGCAGGTCCCATTTTGTTCTCTGACTTAAATCACAGTGATTGACAATTATCTCATGCTAGATTGTATCTTGTTACATTGTGCTCTCTCCCACCACAGACTCTCCCCAGAAAGTTTGCAGTCTTCACACCGTAAGAGGAACCAGAGACTGACTTGGCCTCAACTGATCTCTCTGATCACCTAGTTCTCTTTCCCATGACGATTTGCTAACAGCCGCTAACTTTCCCCAGAACTGGCCCCTGCTGCTGCATGCTTCTTTGTCTAGAGTGACCATGGCCATGACTTCTAGTCTCCTCCTCAGCCTGTGTCGCTGGTCTTTACCCGCTCTGTCATCTTTTCCTCCTCATTTCCAAGCCTCCTCCTGGCTATATAGTACCTCACATCAGAGTTTGCTCATGAAGTGCTTTTGGCTTGCTAAAAAGCATGGGTTTTCTTTGGTTTTGCTCTTGGCCAATTGCCAACACTGTGCCTGGGACATTAGCACTTAAAATCAGTGCATGGTCAGTGACTTCTGATGCCCTGAGTCAAGGTACCTAGAGTGAGGGCTCCAAAGTAGTCAGCCTTGAGAGGAGGGAGACAGCACTCTGTTGTTCGTGGCTATTGATGCACAGCGGGAGATCCCACTGTTTGGTTGCTCTACTCAAATTTCCTACACAGGCTTTCCCAGAAACTTACTAGTCTTTTTCCCTGACGGTGTGTCTTTTCTCCTTTTGGCTATTCTATTTTCTCTCTGTCAAGCCACGATTGTACTTATGTATTCATTCATTCGTTCATTCCCTCATTCATGTATTTTGTCCCTGACAGCCATGGCAGGGATTGCTTCTTATCCTTCCTGAGATCACCACGGCTGGCGTTTTACCACCCCTCCTACTTGCAGATAGATGGAGACCTTGAACTGTGGCTCTGCTCAGTGGAGACAGCTTCCTCCCGGAGTGTGAGGTGGCAGGGGTGTTGCAAGAATCAGGGAGGATTAAGAAATCTGTCCAGGCCGGGCGTTGGTGGCGCATGCCTTTAATCCCAGCACTCGGGAGGCAGAGGCAGGCGGATCTCTGTGAGTTTGAGGCCAGGCTAGACCGACAGCCTCCAAAACAATACAGAGAAACCCTGTCTTGAGAAAAAACCAAAATAAATAAATAAATAAATAAATAAATAAATAAATAAATAAATCTGTCCAGATGTATGGAGCTTGGGAACCAGACTCTTTCCCCACTGCTCTCCTAACAGAAAGCTGCTGCCTCACACCCAACAGGTAGCAAACACCACACGCCCGTAGCCAGTCATCTGGACGCACCTCAGTTTCAAGGCTCCAGACAGTCACGAGAGCTTGCCATTTATCGTGTGTGCTCCTTGGGTGCAACTTACTTTAGTTAAGAATTCAAATGGTTTTATTAACTTGTTTTTCACTCACATGGTTCCCTTTTCTTTCCAGAAATTCTTGGGAATAAATTATGTTTGGTTCCTGGAATCTGAAATTCCAGTTTCAAATATTACACTAATATTAACGGATTTTCAGACCTTGTTTTACCCTTGTGGTTTGATTTTCTCTGGGCTCCTTAAGTGTTGGTCACTTTAAGTAACTGGAATTCATTCTTGGAGTACTTGGCTCCCAATAATCTTGAAACTTTGAGCTTTATCTGTAAATGTTTCCATTTTTATTTACTTTCTTAAGCTGTATACTTTAAAAATTTATTGGTGGTTATGTGATTATTAATCTATTATCTATTAATGTACATAGATACACATGCACATATATGTAGATTTGCATGTGGTGCCAAGTAACCCACATTTATCATCCTCTGCTTTAAAAAAGTATTTTAGCAAAAACTTAACCCTAGAGTTAACCTCTGAAGTCCAGTTTCTCAATCAAGCTGTCTGAATGTACTGGCAACATTTTAATAACTCCAGGGTGTCCCACATGATTATGGCCAGCCTCATTTCCATTCACCTGGGAGCCTCCACTGTGCCCGCCCGCTCTGCAGAGGGTGCCTTATGGCTCTGAGCTTTCCAGTTTAGCTTTATCTGCTGTTCTGCTGGGGGGGGGGCACTCATTTGAGCCAATAGTTCTTTCAGCAGTGCTGGCAACTTTACTTAATTGGACCCAGGAGGCACACGCTTTTCCTCTTACACAAGGGGACTCTCAGTGATACCATCTCTCAAAAGCACTGGTGCTAAGGAGGGCCTCTGAGGAGACGTCACTAAAAAGAGCTCACTCTGCCTGGCATGAGTTGAAAACACTGCTCCTCTCAGTCAGTGGGAAACCAGAGGTAAGCCAGTTTGACTCCATGCATTAGTGTTTACAGAAAAGGAGTATGCAGTGTTTGCAATCTGCAGCTGGGGCATGTATAAGGGAAGGAGAGCAAGCAGAACCCGTGCTCCAGTGAGGGCAGCAGGCAAGGAAGACCCCAGTTAGCTGCTACACAGGGTTCATAACCAGGGGCACAGAAAGGCTCTTCTTCCAACCAGTGTGAGGCTGGATGGAATCAGGATGATAATGTCAGTAACAGAGGGGCCAAGTGCTGGTCATGAGTAGCTGGGCGGAGAAGGCTTAGCAGAGATGCCAGTGAAGGAAGTCGGAGGGAATCACAGTCTGGGGTGGGCAATACTTTCCCATTAAAAGCCGTGGTTCTCTTGGCTCTTGTTTGCTGTGGAAGCACAGCAGGACCACTAACCTATGCCATTGGCACACACCTCCGCTATTTCTTTGGGAGACACAAATACACGGCCACTATTATGGAAACATTTTTCCTCTACCCTTTCATGATGATTGCTTGAAGGCTGTTTTAGCATCCCACAAACACTTCCAAGACTGTTGAGAAGCCAGAATCCTTTCATGGAAACAGGGGCAACACAGGGTCTGACACAGAAAGGGCTTAAAGGTCACAGCTCTAGAGGGAGGAACCTGAGGGTGTGGAGACAGTTTCTCCATGTGTCCAAGACAAAACGGGTTCAGGACATGTTTCTTTTTTCTGCTTTGGTCATGTTAGGTGGCTAATTCACATACTTCAGTTCAGTGTCCATAGTAAGTAAGAGCATGCACAATACATGCTTGGCATTGCTAGTTTAAGAGGTCTGTTTATATATTGTAGTCTTCATCTTGGTGCAACTCAGGCACGGTTAGCTCGATTTTAGTTTAGACTCTAAACTGTCTGTTTTCCATCAATTCCACCATCCCGGGGGAGAGGAGTCAGGCCTGGTTTAGGAAGCACACAGAAAATAGCAAAACATGTCAGCCATAGTGGAACATACCAGTAACTCCATCACTTGGGAGGTTCAGGCAAGAGAATCAGGAGTCTGAAGCCAGCTTGCCTCAAACAAAGCAGTGAGTGTTTGGTGGGCACGTGTGCCTGGGTGCAGGCCTTTGCTGTTGATGAACTGGGTTTCCAGCCTTGCTTTTCTTAGTTTTTTTTTTTTTGTTTGTTTTGTTTTTTTGGTTTTTTTTTGGTTTTTTTTTTTGTTTTTTTTTGGTTTTTCGAGACAGGGTTTCTCTGTATTGTTTTGGAGGCTGTCCTGGAACTCGCTCTGTAGACCAGGCTGGCCTCGAACTCACAGAGATCCGCCTGCCTCTGCCTCCCAAGTGCTGGGATTAAAGGCATGCGCCACCACCGCCCGGCCCGCTTTACTTAGTTTTAGAAGGAAAAAGCTATTTATTTTTTTGGTAGGCTGTTCTCTGAGGTTGGCTAAGGAACAAAGACTTTTCAGCCTTGACTTTCTGGGTAACAGCTTCAACTGAGTTTTATATGGACAGTGCAGACCCAACTTGCAACTGTGTCTATGCAACAGAGCCAGCTGGCGCCTGTTGGAAGCATAGTGTGGTGGTTGGAAAGGAAATGGCCCCATAGGCTCATAGGCACTATTAGGAGGTGTGGCCTTGATGGAGAAGTGTGGGCTTTGAGGTCTCAGATGCTCAAGGCAGGCTCAGTGTGTCACTGCCTGCTGATTCGGATGTAGAACTCTCAGGTCCTTCTCTAGCACGAGTCAGCCTGCACATCACCATGATGATAATGGACTAAACCTCTGAAACTGTAAGTCAGCCCCAATTAAATGTTTTCCTTTATAAGAGTTGCCGTGGTCATAGTGACTCTTCACAGCAATAAAAGCCCCTAACTAGACACATAGTAATACTGTTAATTTTTTATGTCTTTCATGTTCACTCTGAGCTCATTTCCAAAAAAGTAGCAGTTCCACTCATACCGAAGTTTAACCCCCCCCCCCTTTTTGAAGAATCTATCTAAACCTCTTAACATGGCCTGGGCTCCGACCATATAAACTATTTCCCCTCCTTTGTCACAAGTATAGTAGCAAGTGCCTAAAACACTATGAAATTTAGCATCCTATGTCTTTTTCAACATTGTTTTCTTTATCTGGGATGTTTTCCAACACCTGCTAAGTTCCTAGTCACCTTTAAAAAATTTCAGCTGTCCCTGATATAAATTCCTTTCTTCATTCCTTCAAGGTCATTGATTGACCTACAATCTGTCAGGAACTCAATAATACATGATTAAAACAAGCTGCAAAAGTTCCTGACAATTCAGCCAGAGTTAGCCATTTTCTTCTTGAAAGTACCCTAAACATATTTATATTCCGTATCACACTGTATTATCATTACTTTTTATGGCTTTCTCCCCAGTGAGACTGAATTTCCTAAGAGCAAATCTCAAATCTTAGGTTTTTTTTTTGTTTTGTTTCATTTTCCTTTTGTAAAAGTCCTGTAATGTAGTAAAAACACAAGAAACATTTCTGAAATGAAGCAAAATATGAACAAAATATTTACACACACCTGATCTAACCGTAATACTCAAATTTGTGTGCACAAAGTGATTGGGACAGTTAATGACAGCAGAATGATTGTGAATTTGGGTCGGAACTGATGTGCATCATGAGTTAGACCTTAGGAACGTTACCCCCTTCCTCATAAGGAATGAGAAAGAAGCATGGATTTATCAGGGACAGTGAGCCCATAGGATGGGGGAGGGGCTTTCGCATTGTTGCCGGGAATGATTTAGTGCAACAATTATGGACTCAGCATTGTGGTTCCTGAAACAATTAAGCACATATTAGCATGTGATCTACCTAACTTCTCCCGGGTTTATACATTAATGAGTCTAGGACAACACAGGGCAGAAATCCCTGTGTACCTATGCTCATTGCAACACTAGTTCAACAGCTGAGTTAGGAGTGTGTCTAGGAACCAACAGCAGATGAATAGACAGCGAGGATGTGACAGATACACATACAAGTCTTACTCAGCTACAAAGAAGAACACAATTGTGTAGTTTTCAGAAAGTGAGTGACCCCAGAGGTCATCGTGGTAACCAAATAAGCCAGACTCAGAAACATGTCTTGGCTTTTATTCATGCTGTCTTAAGTGAAGGTAGAAGGGGGCTGCTTGGGAAGAAGGAGGGGGTCAGGGGGAGGTGGGCAACAGAGTGGTGAGGGTGAATATGATAGAAACACATGGTACATATGTATGAAAATGTCGTGATCGAGCCCACCGTGTTGTACAATGAATGTGAATCTTAGAACAGATGGCCAGTGAGAGATAAAAAAAAAAAAAAAAACCACACAGAGAAGACTTTGTTGGCCCAAAGGAGAAATCACTAGAGCCACACTGGGAGATGTGATGACAAGTTTTAGACCAGTAGGTTCAGAGGACAGTGGAGAGAACCCCTAACCATTCCTGTAAAACGTGCGGTTTTCTGAGGGCTTTCACTTCCTATACACAGACAAGGGGGGAATCACTATTGCCAGTTCACATAAGAAGCTGAGCTGAGAAAAAGCAACTGGCCTTCCTGACTCTTGCCAGCAAGTGACAGGGCCAGGGGCAAAAGGTCAGGCTTCCTGATGATAGACTCACTATGCTGCATATTTTCCTGTGTGTTAGCACGGGTGCATGCCAACCCTGCTCTGGAGAGAAGACACAAGTCAGGAGCACAGAGCTCCACGAGAGCACCCCTGCCCTGGATCACAGAGCCCCTCCTGTTAGTGTCACACACACAGAACTGAGCCAAGGTAGCCTGAGACTCCATCTTGAAGTCACCTGGTTTGTCCCAATCTTTGGGCCTTAGAAAAATGAAACCAATGCAGGAGGAATCTTTCCTTTTTCTCTGTATTTGGAGAAACAAAATCTTTATTGTAGACAAATGCTAAGACTATGTTATTGAGAATTTATTCTAGTAACTTAAAAAATGTCCATTATAACCAGACAAACCTTTAATTCCAGCACGTGGGAGGCAGAGGCAGGCAGATTTCTTTGTGAGTTCAAGGTCAGCCTGGTTTATAGAGTGAGTTCCAGGACAGACAGAGCTACATAAGAAGACCCTGTCTCAACAACACAACAACAACAAATAACCATTACCAATCAGGATGTGGTATTCATGCCTGTAAACACAGACAGGATGGTGGCCATGAAGTTGAGCCAGCTTACAGTATATCATGAGTTCCAGGCCTTCCTGAGCTGAAGAGTAAGACCCTGTCTCAAGAAAACAGATGGTGCTGATAACAGATCCATTCCCACTTTGTGAACTGTTTCCTTGGTGGAGTAACACACTATTAAATAGGTATTTATGTGTTTGGTACCTGCACTACTTCTCCAAATGACTAATTTACTTTTAAAAATAGAATTATTTAGTCTAGTGTTTTAGTACATTGTTTATTTATGCATTTAAAAACATTATAAATCTGGGTATGTAAGCCTATGACTGTAATCCCAACACCCAGAAGATTAATGCAGGAAGATATCTGTGAATTCAAGACCAGCCTGGGCTTCATAGTGAATCTGAGATCTGCCTGGGTTACATGATTGAGACCCTATCTCAACAAACCAACCAGCCAGCAAAAATATTGTACGATAAAAATGTCTGGCACTTAAAAGAATGAGATGGAAACTAGTTTGCACTGATCAGTGATAGCACAGGTACCCAGCCTGGTCTTGTATTAGTCGAGGCACCAGGTGCTCAGCTGCTGTCAACAGCAGCCACTCCCCCCCCCTTTTTCTCTCCTTGTTGCTGTCACTTTCCCCTGTTTCTCCATCCCTCTAGGGTTGGACTTTGCCGGGCATCTGGAAGATAAAGCCCCCATGTCTGGGACATGTGGCCTTTCTAAATTCATTCTCACAGGTGACTCTACCTCCTGTTGACAACTCTTCCTAGAAGCTTGCTGTGTTTGCCAGTCTCTCAGAGCAGATAGCCTACCTGTCAAACCCAGTTTAGTTGGATAATTATCTGAACAAATAGGCAGAGCCCACTTTTGTCTTTGAAAAAGCTGTTTAAGCTATGACAATGCACACAAACCATTTACTTGATAACCTAAGGTTCCGCAAATATTGACTTCACAATGCTAGTGCTGCAGACACTAACCTATTAGTGAAATCACTCAAAATATTCATGATTATAAACTCAAGACTATAACAGGAATTTTTAAACAAGCTGTGTTAAGCAGAAATATTTTTGAGAGAGAGAAAATCAGTTTGAGTACAATGATCATTAAGTTTAGTTCCTACCTGGATATACTCCGTGAGGAGCCTCAGCAACAGGGGAAGTGTGTATCTAGCTGGGTCTATAGGCTCTGCATGCATCCATATGTGCTGTGATGTCTATATATAGGTTATATAAAGTGGTGGGCAAATTACCTTTCTGTCAGCTTTAATAATTAACTTTCATTAACTTTTACAACAATGGAAAGACTCCACTATGGTCTTGACCTTTGAGACGTTGACCAGCAGAAGTGATGATGACAACAGCTTCTGAGTTCCTGGTGAGATTAAACCACCCACTGCGCTTGTGTGTGTGTGTGTGTGTGTGTGTGTGTGTGTGTGTGTGTGTTTGGCAGAGAGATTTCATTGGTTTGCAGAGATTTGCACAACCATGTTTAAAAAAAAATCTTCACGAGTGTTATCTCCCTGACATTTCACCTAGCAGTTGAGATGGGAGTTCAGGGGTGTTGTTTCTTGGCTGGGTGACTCCACAAAACTTAGTAGCTCAGAAGATGTGTGTACAAGTTACCTCCTGGCACCATAAAGGCCCTCGCTAGGGAGACTCTGTCAACTCCAGGCAACAGTCCCGCATTTGCAGTCTGATTTCTAGTCCCACCACTGCTCTGTTTTTAAAGGCAATATTTCCAGTACTCTTCTGGTTGAGCTCTTAGCCCTGAACCTTGCTGCTCTCTGTTCTCGGTCTCCTCTTTGAAGATTCACCTGTGTTTCTACCTGACTTCATTTCCCACCCTGCATTTCATTGAGAGTACTGGTCTTCCCTACCCCATCTTCAGCATTCCCAAGGTTCTGTCCTTCTGTTCTCTCTCTCTCCCTTTTTCAAAAAGTCAAAGTTCCACGTGCCCGGTGGCTCTCAGATTTCTAAGTGCAGCTAGCCTCGCTCAGGGTCTCTGAAGGAGCACCCTGATGCCATGGAGACCTGACATACCCGAGTGTGAACCCCTGATTTTCCCTCTCGAATCTGCTCCATCTCTTGTTTTCCTTCGCAGACAGAAGGCTCCCTTCTGCTCAGGTTGGAAGCCCTGGGAGGATTTCCTCTTGCAGACAGTCTGTCCTCCTGCAGTCCCATCACCTGCTCAGTCACCCTCTGATACCAAGACACCACTTTGCCCCATCACCACCCAAGCTGTCAACATCTTTTGCAAGAGCCCCTTGCTGCTTTCCTGCTTCCTTGCTAAGCCCCCCACTTTCCCTACATGCTAGTCAGAATGAACTTTTCATGCTAGCCCCTCCACGACGCTAACGATTATCCTTAGAAGACCTCCTGCCCAGGTCCCCAACTGAGCCCACACTTCTCCAGTGTCTCCTCCACGCCTGCCACAGGGGCCTCTGCTGGTCTCCTGAGTTTGCAGGTCCCTGTCTGATATCACCCCTCTGCTTTAAATGCACTCCTTCCTTTTCTGTCTCTCTTGTTAACTGGCTTCCCCCCTTTTGCAGAGAGAACCTGTTTGCCTTCCTGATTTCAACAAAGCCTTCATGACTTTCTCTCCTAGCATCTTTAAAAAGTCATAATTTAAACATCCGCATTTATACACTTGTGTGATGCTTGACTCCTTCGTCAGAATGCCAGCTTCCACATTGGAGGGGCCCTTTCTGAGCACTTCCAGCGTGGAGGGGCCCTTTCTGAGCACTTCCAGCGTGGAGGGGCCCTTTCTGAGCACTTCTCCATCCCTAGCACTTATGATGAATTGCTTGCAGAGTAACTGGCAGTTAGTGAATGACTTACATTTGATACATTCAGGACTAAGAGTGGGAAGCCTGCTGAAGTTTGTTGTAAGATAATCTTACCCATGTTTAAAGTGTGGCTCATGCATATGTTTACTAAGAAATTGAATTAGCTAAAGTACCGTTTATTGCTTTATTTTTTAAAATAACTTATTTACTTTGATTTCATGCCAGGCAGTTGCGAGGTGCCATGTGGGTGCTGGGGATTGAACCCGGGTCCTCTGCAAGAGAAGTCAGTGCTTTTAACCACTGAGCCATCTCTCCAGCCCTTTGTCTCTTTATTTTTTGAGATAGCTTCTTGCAGTGTGGCTCTGACTAGCCTGGTCGTGGCCATGTAGAACAGGCTGGCTTTAACTTCACAGAGCTCCACCTGCCTCTGTCTCTCAGGTGCTGGGATTAAAGGTTTTTGCCTCCATGCTCAGCTAATTCATGATTTTACTAATAATAACTAACATTAATGACTTTCCTACTATGGGCCCTAAACTGTAATTGTATTACATTGGGTTTGTCTCATTAAATTTTTAAAAGACTCACCCACACCAGGCATTGGTGGCACACGCTTTTAATCCCAGCACTCGGGAGGCAGGGGTAGGTGGATCTCTGTGAGTTCAATGCCAGCCTGGTCTATAGGAGTTCCAGGACAGGCTCCAGAGCTACACTTGAAAAACAAAACAAAACAAACAAACGAAAAAGACTCACCCACAACACAGTATTTTAATTTTATTTCAGATGTATATTGATATTTGATGTAAGTCGTGGAGCCCAGCTCTGCCCCTTCTTTAACATCTGTATAAAACTGCTCTTGGTTTCTTAAACAAGTGTACGCCCATGTGGTCAGAGCACCGTGCCTTGATCAGATCGCATGTTTAGGTTTGGATGCTGAAAGAACTGGAAAATGTTGTACTTAAAAAGAGTCCTAGGACTATTGATCAGAACTGAAATGATTTATTTTAGGATAAATAAGAGAGTCTGGGGCTGGTAGATGCAAACTGAGCAAAGACAAGTGAATGGCATTTCTGTTTACTCACAAAAACCAGCTAGAGAATTTCACAGAAAGATTCCACTGAGGCTCGTAACAAAAGCTACAAAGACTAAGTGATGCTAAACCTAATAGACACGAGGACTCTACGGAGGAAATTACAGGCTGTCTTTAGGATACGGAGGAAATTACAGGCTGTCTTTAGGATAAGCGAATTTGAGGAAAAATAAACAGCTGTGTATTTTCATGGATATGAAGGCTCAATATCATAAAGGGTCTTGTTTAAATTAGATGCAACAACAACAATAATAGTAATAATTTTTGAAAAACCTACAAACTGGATAAACTTGCCCCAAAACTTGTATGGAAACACAAAAGGTTGAGAAAAGTCAAGACAAGTTTGAAGTAGGAAAAAAATGGAGAGACTTAATTTGCGTGGTGTACATTTTTATTGTTAGTTGACAAATGGTGCTCAGCCTCCTGTGGACGCCACTGTCACTGGGCAGGTGGTCCTGGGCTGTACAGGAAAAGTAGCTGAAGCTGAGCCCAGAGGCACCAGTGAGCAGTTTTGTCTCAGTTCTGGCCTCCAGGTTTCCTCCCTAACTCCCTTCAGTGATAGACTGTAATCTAAGCTGAAATACTGCTCCTCCCAAGTCAAAAGCAAAATAAATACATCTAAAAAACAATTTTTAAAAATCCATCGTAATTATGACAGTGCTGTGTTTGTGACATGAGAGATAATTAAACCAATGGGAATGGGCCAGAAGCCTTACAATCACACATTGAAACTACTTATAATGGGAGTTACGTGGTAGTAAACAAAGATTTACCATCAACTGGCTACCCACATGGAAACGCCCAGCTCAGAGCTCCTAGTAGTCAGGAATTAGAGGCAGGAGGACAGGTTTGAGGTATATAGCATGATCCTGTGTCAAAACTGTTTTCATTTTTTAGATCTCAATTTTGCATCATACTTACAAAAATTCAATTAACTAAAAATCCAAATACAAGAAGTGGGAAAATTAACTTTTAAAGGGGGAAACTAATATGCCATTATAATCTTAAGCAACTTATAAAAATATGCATAGCTTTTTCTTTTTCCTTTTTTTGAGACAAAGTCTCTCTCTCTCTCTCTCTCTCTCTCTCTCTCTCTCTCTCTCTCTCTCTCTCTGTTTTTTGAGACAGGGTTTCTCTGTATAGCCCGAGTTGTCCTGGAACTTGCTCTATAGACCAGGATGGCCTTGAATTCAGAGATCCACCTACCTTTGTCTCCCAAGTGCTCAGACTAAAAGTGTGAGCCATTACTACTTAGCTAAAAATATGCATAACTTAAAGGAAAAGATGATTAAATCTAAAATCATTAAGATTAAATCATGAAAGACAATATAGTAAAAGTGAAGAAAGATTCCAGACTGGAGAAGCAATTGGCTCAGTTTCAATCTAAAAAAGATGATGATAATGAAGGTGATGGTGATTTTTTTTGGCAGGGTTTCTGTGGCTTTGGAGCCTGTCCTGGAACTAGCTCTTGTAGACCAGGCTGGCCTCGAGCTCACAGAGATCCGCCTACCTCTGCCTCCTGAGTGCTGGGATTAAAGGTGTGTGCCACCACCACCTGGCTATCACTGAAGAGTTCTTAAACTTAATCTTTATTTGTTTATGGTAAGTTTTCTTTTGCCTGTTGGACACTATGAGCAAAACACTTGCTTGTCTAGCATGTATCTTGGTGGTAGAACACTTACTTAGAGACCTTTTAGGTCCTCAAGACCAAATAAACAAAACAATCAAAATCAAAACCAAAACTCAAATGGCTAGGATATGGAGTTATAACAGCTCTCATACTACTGTGTGAGAGCAAATGCAGCCCTTATTTCCCAAAGCAGCTTCAAACACTTTTATCCCATTGAAGCTACACATCCCTAAGACAGGATGTGCCATGTTTAAGTGTGTAGCTTTCTGATTATGTATGTCCCAGAATGTTCATAACTGTAATAGCAAAACAAGTAACAAAAGAAATAGCCTAGATATAAATTATACAATGAATAAGGAAACCGCAACGCAAAACACTCTGTTCCCACGATGACATTCTGTACAGTGATAAAAAATAATATATTGCAGTGTTTCACAGGCAACATTTCATGAACTTAACTTATAAACACAAATCATGTGAAAAATGATTAAAGAATTAATCCACATATTGCTTATAGAAAGTTAAAAACATACAAAATTGGAATAGGTGGTAGTTCTATTTTTAGTTTTAAGGAGCCTCTGTGCTGTTACATAATGACTGTATGAATTTCCATAAATTCTATGCCAAACTAGCAACAGTGGGTTTGTATTCAGAGGAAGTGAAATCAACATGTAGTCATGTCTGTATTCCCTCATCTACTTAGCTCTGT